TTCCTTTTCTATTACAGGTATGGAGAGCAAAAAACTGATTTCTGCTACCGACATTCAATACTCTGGCAGTCTGCTTAGCTCCTTGAATGAACAACGTGGCCATGGACTCTTCTGTGATGTTACTGTTATTGTGGAAGATCGAAAATTTCGGGCCCATAGGAATATTCTTTCCGCTTCAAGTACATACTTCCATCAGCTCTTCTCGGTTGCTGGTCAGGTTGTTGAACTGAGCTTCATAAGAGCAGAGATCTTTGCAGAAATTCTCAATTACATCTATAGCTCTAAAATTGTTCGTGTTAGAGCAGATTTACTTGATGAGTTAATTAAATCGGGCCAGTTGTTGGGAGTGAAATTTATAGCAGAGCTGGGTGTCCCACTGTCACAGGTTAAAGGCATCTCAGGTGCAGCTCCGGAAGGTAATGCTGAAACCTTACCTGCTGATTCTAGTGATAAAAACGTTGTAATAGAAAAGTCAAAAGATGAAAACCAAGACAACGGGGCTACGAACATGCCTATTATAACAGAGTCTTTTTCCTTATCTGCTGAAGATTATGAAATGAAAAAAATCATTGTTACTGATTCAGATGATGATGACGATGATGTCATTTTCTGCTCTGAGATTTTGCCTGCAAAGGAGACTTTGCCGAGTAACAATGAAGTGACACAGGTCCAGCCTAAACCAGGCCCTGTTGCTATTTCAGATGTGGCACCTTGTGCCAGTAATAACTCTCCCCCTTTAACAAGTATCACACCTACTCAGAAGTTTCCCCCTCCTGTGAATCAGGCAACACTGAACCAAAAACAAGGAAGTGAAAAATTGCTGGTATCTTCGGCTCCAACCCATCTGACTCCCAACATTATTTTGCTAAGTCAGACACCACTTACTACACCTCCAGTTGCCAGTGCTTCACTTCCTAATCATATGTCATCTCCTATCAACTTACTTGTACAGAATCAGCAGACACCAAACAATGCTGTTTTAGCAGAAAGCAAGGTGAGTGAAGAAGTGGAGGAGGAAATTATAGATGATGATGATGATACTATTAGCTCCAGTCCAGACTCAGCAGTCAGTAATACATCTTTGGTCCCACGGGCTGATACCGCTCAGAATGCTACTTTTGATGGATCATTGGTACAGAAAATGCAGATTCCTACACTTCTGCAAGAACCAACTTCACATTCTTTAAAAGTTTCAGATATAATTACTAGAAACACTAATGATCCAAGCTTAGGATCAAAATATCTCATGGAGGGTCAGAAGATCATTACTTTAGATACAGCTACTGAAATTGAAGGACTGTCCACTGGTTGCAAGGTTTATGCAAATATTGGTGAAGATACTTACGATATAGTGATCCCTGTCAAAGATGACCCTGATGAGGGGGAGGCCAAAATTGATAGTGAATTATCAAAAACATCTCACAGTGAGTCTACAAGCAAACGTATGAAAGTAAAACATGATGATCACTATGAGTTAATAGTAGATGGAAGGGTCTATTATATCTGCATTGTATGCAAAAGGTCATATGTCTGTCTGACAAGCTTGCGAAGACATTTTAACATTCATTCTTGGGAAAAGAAGTATCCATGCCGTTACTGTGAGAAAGTGTTTCCTCTTGCAGAATATCGCACAAAGCATGAAATTCACCATACGGGGGAGCGAAGGTATCAGTGTTTGGCTTGTGGCAAAACTTTCATCAACTATCATTTCATGTCTTCGCACATAAAGTCAGTTCATAGTCAAGATCCTTCTGGGGACTCAAAGCTTTATCGTTTACATCCATGCAAGTCTTTGCAGATCAGACAGTATGCATACCTTTCTGATAGGTCAGGCACTATCCCTGTCATGAAGGATGATGGTATTGGTTATAAGGTTGATGCTGGAAAAGAACCGCCAGTAGGGACCACATCTACTCAGAACAAGCCAATGAGCTGGGAAGATATTTTTATTCAGCAGGAAAATGATTCAATTTTTAAACAGAATGTAACAGATGGCAGTACTGAGTTTGAATTTATAATACCAGAGTCTTATTGAACTTCTTTGAAATACCAGTTAGTTTCAGGTTGGATTAAGGGGTAGAGATTACAAAAGACCTGTAAAACAAATTAAGGTGAATACAGGTTAATCTGACCTCACACATCCTCTGAAGGTAGTATAGTTGAATTGTTAATCATTTTTAGAAGCAATCTTCTCTGAAATTTTGAGTAGAGGTTGAAAAGTTGTGCACCCAAGCATTGGTTTAGTTAGTTTTCTGCTCATTTCAAAGAAAAATTTTAAAATTCAGAGAGATAGTTTCTTGGGTAGAATTTGAAAGTCTGAATATTCTTTGAAAAATCACTGGAGTTTCTAGCATATCCTAGTACTTTTTTACAATTTCCCCCTTTCATGTTAGCACTTTACTGCTCAATTCCCAGTTTTGTTTTTTAACATCAAGACTATAAATGTGTGTTGTGTCTTGTATATGGCATTAAAAAGTAAAGGACTGCCAAAAATTGTTCTAGAAAAACTCAGAATAAATCTCTACTTCAGTATATTCTGCTAGTCTTAAATGGATAGTGACCTCCTGCCTCTTCCCATTAAAATAGGAATGCAAAAAAAAGTCATATGAAGAATAAATTAGTTTTAGCTAATTAGAATTAACACTTGGCTTTTATTACCACAGTCTGAAAAAGACTTTGGTGGGTTGGCCACTATAGGCTTTATAGTGTGTTCTCTGGGCAAAAAAACTAGTGGAAGGAAAAAATACATCGAGGATGAGCTACCGCCTGCAGACAGGAGGAAACAAGTTCTGTTGCACTTATTTTGAATTCCCTGTTCTTAAAGGATAGAAGAAGTAGAGTTCAATGGGAATTACTTTCTGTTCATTATGGTTAAGAATATTCTTCTGAAATTCTATAAATTTTTAATCTGAAAGCCACCAAATGAATCTTTATACATTATTTATGTATAAATCTTTGTAAATGACAGACCCCATAGATGAGACTCCTATGTATTTTGGGTGGAGGCTACTGGCATATATTTTTAAATGTTTATATTAGAATCTCCAATAGGAACTTTTCATTTGAAATAGTTTATGTGGTGACCTAGTATTTTGTTTTCAGCAAGTTCTTAGGGCTATCCCATCTCCAAATTGCTGCAGTATTAAAGCAATCAGAAACTACATATGGAATGTTATATAGGCTTATAAAGTCCCATTTGACAACAAATACCACTTTACTTCCTTTCAAGATGAAACATATTTAAACACTTAGAAAATAATGTTAAATTGCATTTAATTGCTACTACTGAAAGGAAGCAGGTTGGAACAAATATATAGCCTACCATTTTTAACAAGATTAGCTTGAAATGTAAATTTCTTATGGGAAGGAAAAAATTTAATAGCTACTGGAAAAGATTACTCTTGCATTGTCACTAGCTATTCATAATTTTGCTTATGTATTTCTTAGTTCAACATAGATTCTTTCTCCTGATCACATAACTGTAAAAGTAGTCTATTTCTTGACTTTGAACACAAAGCTTTAATCATATTTGCTCATGTATTCATTCTTCTGATGGTAAGCTAGATTTGGGATAGTGGTTACAGTGTTAAGAAATACTGGTAGCTGAAGATAGTAGGCATCAGTATTTGCAGTAATATAGTAGAAAGGAAAAATATTTCTTTTGCTTATCAAGGAGTGGAATGATATACACTTATCTGCTTACTGTTTTATGAACCTAGACTTTCAAATCATTTTATAAAGTGAACCTTAGAAAATTTGAAATCACCCTAGAACTTAAGAATGATTTTTAATCACAGTATGTTTTCTTTTTGTAGATACTGATAACATTGCTCTTTGACTATAGGGTAAACTGAAATGTCCTGTTATATATTTTTTTGTTTCATTAATGCTATTTCACCAGTTAGACATAGTTGGTTCTACCAATGTGATTGATATCAGCAGAACTTCCAGTTATTTCAGACTCAACTGCTAGATAATTAGTTTGTCATGATAAAACTTAGTTTCTCTAAGCATATCATGATAAGTCAGAAATCCTATAATGGGAAACTATCTGTTCTGAATACTGATGAAAGTGTTTGCTGCAGGGCTCTATGTATGAAGTATGGGTTTATAAACTGTGCCTACTGAAGGTAACTTCTGAAGGTTTTTGAGAGAAGGGAAACTGGAAAGCTAACGTGTAATTTTGCCAGAAGACTCTTACTTGCATGAATTGCAGGGTCTTCAAGTCATTCTAGAAGTTTCCATTTCCAAAGGCCAGAGTTCATTGGAATAAAACTTTTGGACAAGAACTTGTCACTTCCAGTCTTTATTGGATTGAAAATTTGTAGCAAGATGCTGTTTAAAACTTATCATGGGGTTTTTCTATTTACTACTTAGCTTTCTCTGGCCATTGACTTTCCTTTTCCTTCAAGTTAATTAAAATTTTCCTAATGCTCAATTCCCTGTAAATATTCTGGACAGGAAGTATTTGAAATAGTAGATTTCTTTTAAAAATGACAAAATGGTAAAGGCTTAAAAATGCTGAAACAATCTTGCAAGATTAACTTTAAACATACTTTAAATGGTTATTATTTTATTGGTGTTAATGATCCCCCACATATAACCACTATCAGGAAATGATGTCACATTTTCCTACTAAAACTTGCACTAAAAAGATAAAACTAAATACTGAACATTAATTAAGGTATTTTATATTGACATGGCATGCATATTATAAGGAATTAAATGCTATTGAATAGCACTGGCTTCTTCACTTCTGTCAGTTGTATGAAATGTACATTTCCCCAAATACTTTACATTTGTACTATCCTGTCATGACATTTTAAGTTCTACTTTTCATTAACCATTACTTGATACTAGTTTCATAGAGCTTATGGCAGAAATAAAAATGTTTCAATTCTAATTTTTGGGTGCATTTTTATAAGATTATCTTTCAACAAATGATACAAGAATGTATACTATGTCCATTTTTTCATTTTGTCTTTGCTGGTTTTTTTTTCTTGGTAGCAGGAAACTTATGTTGTATTTCTGATAGTGGTGTGGCAAAAATTCCCACTAGGTTTTATGTGCTGGTTAATCATGCCTCATTGTTTATTGAACCATAATAATAAAAGATGAGTTGGCTCCTGTTACTCTGAGTGTTTGCTATAATTGTGTAGATACCATGAGGATGCCTCTAAGTGGGTAAGGAGAGGATAGTTTTATTAATTTGAAACATCACAAAAGCAGTCTGGGTTTCCAACATGGCAGTGATACAGATTTTAAGCAACATCCAGTTTATACAGGTTCTGGGTTAATATTTTAGTGTTTCATGCCCAGTTCAATACTTTAAAGCAGAATTAGGAAGGAAGCAGTAAATATTACAAAATGCAGTCAAGATACATATTGGAAATAGAAATTCCTTCATTACAGCAAATGTTTTGCAAAAAAGTAAAGCAGCAAATACCGATTTTTCTAAGGTTACATGCACTTTATATAATTCAATGTAATAAAAAAGAAGCTGCTCAAATTAAGTGTTACAAAATCTATAGTGTTTCAAGTTATTTTGTAAAGTAAGAAAAATACATAGAAATGAGTCATAGAATCTTAACACTTTTAAGAAATGTGATAAATGTAGGATATACCATGTAATGGTGCCTTTAAAAATATACATGTTCACTAAAGCAAAAGGTAAAGTATAAGTGGCAAAAAATTCAGTGAGTATTACAAGTTGATAATTGTATAGTAAGTCAATTGGTTATTAGTCCTTTTTGGAAGTCCAATAGAATTTTAATATGCTCAGAACTGTAAAAAATAATAGTAATTTTGTATAACACAAAAGGATTATAGTTCTTCAGATTTGAAATCTGGCTAAAACAACATTCATGATGCTGAAAGTTAAACTAAATATTTTGCTTTGAACAAAATATTTCATCTTTACTATGAACAGTGAGTGCACTTCTTGTGCCTTGATGACTTTGATGACCGGGTGTCTACAAGGTAGATGGGAGCACCAGCATTTGTCTGCTACCTCTAATCCATCAAGTTGGGAGGTAGCGAAATTGGCTGGAAATGTTTCCAGTATGTGTTCTGTGTTTGCAGAACTTTCTAATTAGGTACCCTCCTGTAGCCCCTGTATTTTTACATGTGTAGGATTATCAGTCTTCCTTTAAACTTATCAACTCTTGGGTTAACATAAGATCCCAATGTATGGGTTCATTCTGAGTTGAAGGCATGGGTGCCAAAGTGTTTTAAACTCATCCGATTGATGGGTTAAAGCTATGTGTAATTAAAAGAACTGTACAAAGATACCACAATGTGCCTGATGGATTTCAAATCTACTGTAACACTTAAGAATTTGTCAAGTTGGCTACATTTGAAGTTTTGCAGACTTGAAGCAGCATTGTAATACTTTCATAATCTTGAACGCTGTCATGATTGGTCTCAACAGAAACAGGACCAATAAGAGCAATGATACTAAAATACAGATGACTTTTTTGGGGTGGGGGTGCAAGATACGTGCGGTTTGCTGGGGCTGAAGCACAATATTTGAAGATTAAATAGTCACAATAGTAACAACTCATATCATGACCCAGCCTAATCTAGAACTTTTTTTAACTCTGAACTTCAGCTGTAAGATTTACATCCCCTTTAGCAAATGTATTTTGCAATACTGCAACATGTAGTAGAATCACTCTCCTAAAATACCAAATGTATTACTGAGATCTACTTAAAACAGTTGACATGTTGCTCTGTATTTCAGTGCTTCCAGAACAATCCTGTTTCCCACTGCACAAGATGAGGGAATATTGCACTTTTCCCATTAGGAGGTACCAATAACAAAAGCTGAGCTGAATAATCACAGCAGCCATTTTTATAATACAGAGAAGAAAGGAGTAAGATATGGGCAGCTTTTTTCCAGACACAAGCAAACAAAATCTTAGCCTGAACTCTGTGTTTGAACTACTGTGTAGCCCAATCCACTGCATGTATTTTTTTCTTCCTTAAAGACTGGCGGCAGTGTAGGGAAAGATAGGGCCTCTCAACCAGGTCCTTCAACCAAGGTGCTCAGGTAGCAATCTGCCAAGGGCCTTAGGACAATATTCCTTTGCCAAAAGTGAAGCAGATGACAGCTGCGCTTCTGCTGAAAACAGACATGGGGCACACTGCAATGCAAGTCCAATCATGCAATGTTCTTATTGGGCCATCTCCCCAGACTTGCTACAAACTGTCCTTGGAAATGTTGGGTTCAGCCTAGCCACCCATGCTTTTCACTGAACCACAAGTAAACTTCATCCCTATCTTTCCCTAGCTTGGCAGGCCATTGTTAAAAAACTTTATGCATGAGTCACACTTTAAATTTTGTGCCCTACACATTTCCACTAAAGCAGAAATACAAAAGCCACAATAATCTCAATAGCCAGCAAGCATTCCCCTTTAGGGACTGTATGGTGGTGGCTTCTCAAAAGGTGGATAGTAGGGTGGAGAGTAACGAGGTGGTGCACTTGAGGACCACATGTAGCTGGGAGAGGGTGAAGCAGACTGGGGTTCATCAGAGAGTCCAGAGGGAGGGGAGGATGGAAAGACACTGGAATGCTGTGTAATGAAAAGAAAACATCAGTTTAGACAGTTTGCAATTCCCTGGATAGTCATTTCAATTTTAAAATTAAATATATACCAACAAACAGTTCATGAACCTTACAAGGTTAATGAGGGCATGAAAGAGGAAGCCCCATATTCTATCACTAGAAATGAGAACAAGGGAAAAGAAAATAAAGGGTTTTTGCTTTATTCTTGGCAGGGAAAGGGGGAAAAAGAATCCTGCAAGTCTCATGTACAAATTTTTGGGAATGTTCAGGGTAGATTGGAGAGCAAAGAATAGCAAAGGCATGAAGGGAAAAATACCAATCAATGGTAAGAATGAGGAGTGATATGTCAGATTGCAGACACTGAAGATTCAATTAAGCCTTGTGATGGCTCAGCTTGAATTCTGCCATTTAAGCCACACCTCCAGCCCAGATTTTTGCTGATTATTTTGGAGATAGAGTCCCGGAATTCTACCTGGGATGGCACTGAATCAAAATTCCCTAAGTCTCAGCCTTCAGAGTAGCTAGGATTACAGAAAATCTCTTTTTGTTTTCTTAACTTTAGGAAAGGGGCTCCTGTGGATTTAGAAAAAAACATCACGTGGATTCCTGGTTCGGAATCATTCGCTGCTCTCTTTCCCTGGCCCATGTCTATGTGTAACCTTAATGATTTTCTTATTAAAGAAGAGTTAGCTTATTTTTTCATTGTTGAATCCCGCAGGGCTTGGCACAATGCTTGGCAAGTAGTAGGTGTTCAATAAATCTTGAATGAGTAAATATAACTTCAAAAGTGTATAAGATGAACTTGGCATGCTTTGTAAATAAAACATAAAATCTATTTTTAGAAGATACAGTCACAGTGGAAGTGAGGCTGGAGCTCACTGATTTCTTGAGGCTGCAGGAGGGAGCTACAAGGATGGTAGAAAGCAGTTTAAGGTTCTCAGGAAGAACAAATATAAGCCAACAGAAGGAGTAAGAGATCAGCAAATATTCTGTTGTGTCTTATGTATGCTCGAAGCCTCTTATACCAATTTTTCTCAAGAACTCAAGTGCTATTTTGGGGTGATGGGTAGTGGAGAGGTCACATGTTTACTTTGTTCTGCTAGGCCAGAATTTGAGTAGACCATGTTATTTTTCCAGGCCTGTGGCAGTCTAGAGTCAACAATGACTTGTCGCCAGGTGCTGGTGGCTCATGCCTGTAATCCTAGCTACTCAGGAGGCTGAGATCTAAGGATTGTGGTTCAAAGCCAACCTGGGCAGGAAAGTCTGTGAGAATCTTATCTCCAGTTAACCACCAGAAAACCAGAAGTAGTGCTGTGGCTCAAGGGGTAGAGTGGTTGCCTTGAGCTGAAGAACTCATAGACAGTACCCAGGCCCAGAGTTCAAGCCCCACAAGTGACAAAACAAAAACAAAAAACATTGACTTGTGGTTTTTTGAGCATGAGACAAATTGGCTGATTCTTATCTCATGTCTTTAACTGTGCACTTCTAGGAAAGACATGTCTAGGTTTCGAGGTCTTTCATATAACACTGAAATATATCTGTCCCTTACCACAATACTATCAGGATTGAGAAGAGACTTCAGTTGCTCTCCTCCTCCATTTTCTTTTCTACCTCCTGATCCTCCTCCTCCTCCTCCCCCCTCCTACCATACCTGTTTTTTCACTCTGAGTGAAGAAATTCAGAATTGCAGAACGTGAGAGAGTCTTTAAAGGCAAACTATCTTAAGACAGTGGATTTATAACAAGCCATGTCCTCCCCCAAACTCAACTTTTCCCATCTCCACCACCCCTCTAAGAACTTTCCAATTTCTGAAGCATCAGTGTGGTGATCATTGTTTCATGGTGGATATGTTCTGAGAAATGCATCATTTGAAAGTCTTTTGATTGTGCAAACCTCACAGAGTGTGCTTATACAAAGATAGCTCTGATGTCACTAGGCAATGTAATATTATGACACCACCACTGTATATTCTGTCCATCATCAACAGAAATGTTATACAGTACAAGATTGTACAGTGGTTCCTTAATTTTCTTTTTTCTTTTTCCGGTCATGGGGCCTGAACTCTGGGCCTGGGCGCTGTCCCTCAGCTCTTCAGCTCAAGGCTAGTGCTCTACCACTTGAGCCACAGCGCCACTTCTGGCTTTTCCTGCTTATGTGGTGCTGAGGAATCAAACCCAGGGCCTCATGCATGCAAGGCAAGCTCTCCACCACTGAGCCACCTTCCCAGCCCCCTCCTTAATTTTCTATTTGGCATTGTTCAAACTCCCCCTTTCTCCTTTTTCTCCCTTCTCTTGCTGCTTTCTTCAGTAAGCATTCTCATTTGTTTATCATCAGCCATGGGGCTTGAACTCAGGGCCTGGGTGCTGTCCCTGAGCTCTTCTTGCTCAAGGCTAGTAGGGCTCTACCATTTTGAGCCACAGCTTCCTGTTTCCTAGTGGTTAATTGGAGATAAGAGTCTCACAGACTTTCCTGCCTGGGTTGGCTTTGAACTGCAATCTTCAGATGTCAGCCTACTGAGTAGCTAGGATTACAGGTGTGAGCCACCAGTGCCTTGCATCACTTCTTAACCAATAAAGAAAGCAACAACAACAACAAAAACAAAAAAACCAACAACAACAGCAGCCACCCCCCCCCCCCAAAAAAAACCCCAAAGCCAAGAACCTGTGTGCTCAGGCATGTGACACGCTGCCCTTCTAAATCCCACTACAAGGATGTGAGAGACAGCAGGGCAGTTTTAGGTGTTCTCTAACAGGAAGGGGCAGTTCTGTCTTAAAAGGAATTAAAAGACTTCTGTGGGTGGTAGTTGTACTCTTTGATAATAATGGGGCAATACAACGGCCTTTAGGTTTTCACTTCTTGGTTTCATGTTTAGGAAGTATTAAAGGGGCAAGGAGGGGAGGGATTCTCACTTCCTTTTGAGGATAAAATTGGGAATCTTAAGGATAAAATTGAAGGGTTCCTGTCAGACTTAGAGAGCTAACTGGCTGCAGCCCACACACCCTTGACACTGGAGGGGAAGGGGCACAGTACCAGTATATGGTTTCCTAGCAACAGAGAGGCACCTTGGGAAAGATTTGGCCTTGTCACAGCTAGAAAGCTATCCTGGTGTATTTTGTCTCCTGTCTGAAAGTCTGCCTTTACTAATGTGATAGACAGGAGCTCAGGAAAGCAGAGCTTTGAATCCTTGTACACCACAAAGCATGAAGAGCATCAAGTAGTCCCCTGCTGGGCCAGAGTGCTCTAGCTTCCAGAGTTGCTTCTCACAGCTAGTCTACAGGCTGATAGTGATAAGAGGAGTATCATCCTTTTGAGTCAGAGATAACTCTCCACTCCCACCTTAGCTTGCATTATCTCTGTCTATTGATGGACCCTTAGTCTTCAAGATCAATGTGTGTCTGCCAAAGTGGCCTTCTTCTTCAGGAGCACTATGGAGCAGTGCTCGAAAGGAGCCCTAGGACTAGGTGGGAACAATGACTAGCTAGATAAACTGTGTCCCAAGGGTAAATTCCCTCTGTTCTGCTCCAGAAAGTAAAGGCTGGGGAGAAGGAAAGAAGATTGGTTGAAAGGAAAAGGAAGGTAAAGGGGGAAGGGACAAGAGAAAGAAGAAGAAAGGGAAAATCTTGGCAATGGCAGGGGAAAGGAAAAAACATCAACAACCTTCTAAGGCTCCTAAAACCTGTACCATAAGCAGCAGGATTAAAGCAATCCTTTTTAATAAATGGCCATAATTTATAATGAGTTGGTTTTAGCAGTTGCATTGAAACACTATGTATCTTCCTGTGTTCAATAAAGAGAATAAACTGGGTGCTTCTGTTTTGCATAGGTTGAGAATTTTAAACACAAACTTGGCAATTCACTAAATGGACAGGAAAAAGTCTAATTCGTGGTTATAGTAAAGTGTGTGTGTGTGTGTGTGTGTGTGTGTGTGTGTGTGTGTGTGTGGTGGGGCGGGTGGGGGGGGCGGATTGGCCCACTATGCCAGACTTGTAAGTATGCCTGGAGAAGTTCAGGGGCTTGTATGATATTACATCAGGTTCACTTTGCAGAAGTAGAAATTGATGCTTAAAACCCTATAGATTTTGGACTACATGGCCAAAGTAGAAGGAGTCATGGGGAAATGAGTGCAAAGACAAGGGGAATGAATGCTGAGGAGAGGGGCAAGGAGGCAAAAGTAGTGTCATCCTTCCTGCTTTGCAATATGAGGAGCTCATTAGCAACAAGAACACTTTGGAATACAGTGTTTGAAAGAGTCCTGTTTCTCCACATTCAGCACTCAAAATTTCCTCAGGGCCAGCTATTAAGAAACAAATCCTTGCTCTTGTCTGACCACAGGAAATGTTTTCCAAACTTCCTACCTTAACCACTTACACTAAAAGAGCATGACTTTGAGGGGTTAAAAATAAAACTCTGTAAGTTTATTTCCTTGTCCTTCTATTCACCTCAGGGTAAAAAGGAAATAGAGATCATTAAACCTCAAGTCACAAATTGGAAAAGACCAAAATGGGGAAGTCTTTTGGGTGGTAATTGAGGGTCTATAGTCATACCACCCTGAACTCATCTTATCTTGGATGCTAAGCAGAATCAACCATGGTTAGTATTTGGATTGGAAAAGAAAGTGTAGAAAGGTAAGGTTCTGCCTGAAATGTAGGTCATTATTTGATCTGAGAAGAGCATGAAGGAGCTCTGTTTTTCAAAGAAGAGCATGTAGGCTTATGCTTCTGGTGGTTTTATTGTCAGACCTGGAATACATTTGCTGACTGTTTATTTAAAATTTATATGGAAACCTAGGTAGACATTCCTTGAACTCTTAGTTTTCTTAGGGAAAGACTTCTATAAACCTTTAATGTAATGGGCCTTGGTGATCAAAGGAAAGTTTAACCTAAACACTAAGTTCTGGAGAGAAACAAGAAGATTTCCTGTAGTACCTACAACCATACCTATAAATTCTCCAAGCAAGAAACAGAAAAGATAACGAGCCTAGGGAAAGAACAGGAAGATGTACAGGAAGTATACAAGCAAGTCTTGAACTGGAGAATGAATGAATGAATGAAAGAAGGAGATATCTTTTCAGAGGAGACAAATGTAATCATTTAATAAGAAAGCCATGCATTTGTGGCTCACGCCCGTAATTCTAGCTACTCAGGAGGCTGAAGATCTGGGGATCATGATTCAAAGCCAGCCCAGGAAGAAAAGTCCATGAGACTCTTATTCCGATTAACTACCACCCAAAAAGCTCGACCTGAAGTTGTAGGTCAAATGGTAGAGTACTAGCCTTGAGCACAAAAGTTTAGGGACAGTACCTAAACCCTGAGTTCAAGCCCTAGGAAAGAAAGAGAGAGAGAGAGAGAGAGAGAGAGAGAGAGAGAGAGAGAGAGAGAGAGAGAGAGAGAGAGAGAGAAAGAAAGAAAGAAAGAAGAAGAAAAAGAGAAAGAAAGAGAGAGAGAGAAAGGAATAAATATAGACTAGGGACCTTTTGTGAGGCCATGAGGCCATGATTAAGAAACCCATAATTTAAACCAATAAAAATGTAAATATCCTAAAATTAACTGGAGAAAAGATCTTATGGACATTCTAATTCATAGTTTCTAAAAAAAATCCTCATACTAATCTCTGGAACCAACAGTCATAGATTTAAATCCTTACTCTCCACTAACCACCTATATGACTTTGGAGAAGTTACTTAACCCAATATTCAGTCATCTTATTTTAAAATATTTCAATAATGAGTACTTTCCTCAAAGGACTAAATGACTTAATAATGATATGTTAGTGATATGTACACTTAATACAATGATTGGTATATAGTAAGTATTAAATGAATAGTATCTGTTATTTAAAACAGAGTCTCCATCTGAGTGCTGATAATGTTAACTACTAAGGAGGCTGAGAGCTGAGGATTACACTGTGAAGCTACCCTAGGCAGGAAAATCTGTGGGACTCATCTCCAATTACCCAGCAAAAAGCCAGAAGTGGAGATATGGCTGAAGTGATGGAACAATAGCATGAGTACAAAAGCTCAGAGACAGCTCCCAGGCTCCGAGTTCAAGCCCTAAGACTAACACCATAAAAAAGAGCCTCCTACAATCTATGAACTGTCTCCGATAAGCCCCAAGTACAGGTGTGGACTAAGTAGGTAAGTTTGGATCCCTTCCCTGGGTTAAGTTCCTTGTTCCTGTAGCACTTTGGATAATAGTTTGTTTACATTTGTCTCTACTACTATACCCTAACTCACCTCTCAAGTCTCAAGACAAATCTTAAAGCAGGGTCTCTCTTTTTTTCTGTTTTTGTTTTTTTTTTTTTTTTTGGCCAGTCCTGGAGCTTGAACTCAGGGCCAGAGCACTGTCCCTGAGCTTCTTTTGCTCAAGACTAGCACTCTACCACTTGAGCCACAGCACCACTTCTGGCTTTTGCTGTTTATGTGGCACTAAGGTAGAACCCAGGGCTTCATGAATGGTAGGCAAGCACTCCACCACTAACCCGCATTCCCAGTTCCAAGTAGGGTCTCTCTTATTCAGACCTCCTAGCACAGTGCCTGGCACATGTGAAAACGGAGAACACATTGATTAAACTGAAGCCAATAGCCCAAGTTATCATTAAATTTTTCATCTTGTTTTCATTCCTGGGTTCACTCCTGGGGTTCGAATGAGAAATGATGTGGTTCCATACCTGAAAGAGGGCTTCTTGTGGCAACCATTACCATGGGTATTATTGTCCCTACTTAAGGGGTTCACCATAAAGTGTAAATTCCTAAAAACAACATAATTTACTTAGATATAAAAATGGAGGGCTGGGAAGGTGGCTCAGTGGTAGAGCGCTTGCCTTGCATGCATGAGGCCCTGGGTTCAATTCTTCAGCACCACAAAAGCAAAAAGAAAAAAGCCAGAAGTGGCACTGTGGCTCAAGTGGTAGAGCGCTAGCCTTGAGCTGAAGAGCTGAGGGACAGTGAGTGCCCAGGCCCAGAGTTCAAGCCCCACGACTGGACCCCAAAAAAATAAAAATGGAAGTGACCTTTTGAGCTGGACCCATGTGTGCCACTGTATCTCAGGAGAGTTTTATATTATCAGGGCCCAATGGGAATAATGGCCCTATTTGTGTTAGCCTGAATTATGTTAACAATAACTTATTGCCTCTGTCACCACTGAAATTACCTGTGCCCTTCTTGAACATATTTGTATTTTTTAGTTTATACCACCTAACTGGGTAACAATTACCAGTTGTCTACCTGTATCTATCTATAGTAGGCTATAAAGCATTTTTTAAAAAATTTAATTGGTATTATAAAGGTGATGTACAGAGTGTAAAGAAAATCTTAATTTTATTTTTTTCTAGACTTTAAGAGATACCTCCTTTTACTAGTACTATATTTTATAGGAGGGCATAAGTTCATGTTCATACTATATGTATTAGTTTTGCATTCCAAAGCCCTAGACCTCTCCAAACACAATTCAATTGCACACTATTCGACTTAGTAGGGTTTCAAAGTTTCCATTATTTGGTTAAACTGAAGCTGAAAACAGGTTTCCCGAGGGATTTGTATTGCCAAACTGATTGGTTAGCAAGAAGCTTCCCTGTCATGCTCTTATGTGCCCTTAGAGCATTTATGGGCTTTTCATTAATAGGAGTAAATTCATCTTGAGTTTCTGCCCTTATGGTCTCGAGAATTTTAATTAGCCAAATTTTAATGACTGCTGTGGTTTGGAAATGTCCTCTAAAGTCCCCTGTGCTGAAAGCTTGGTCCCTAGCCTGTGGCACTATTAGGAGGTAGTGCAAGTAGCTTATGCATTTAATCCTGGCTACTCAGGAGATGGAGATCTGAATAGTGGTTTGAAGCTACTCCAGGCAGAAAGTTTCAAGAGTCATTCTCTAATTAACCAGCAAAAATTTTGGCTGGTGGCTCTAGTGGTAGAGTGAGAGTTGCAAGGAGGTTGAACAAGTACAAAGCCCTGAGTTCAAACTTGGGTACTAGCATAATGTGAAGCCTAGTAGACAATTGTTGATTGCTTGGGTATACGCTCAAAAGAAATTGTGGAACCCAGTCTCTTCTTTGTGTGTCTGTGTGTCCTGGCCATGAGAAAAATACTTGGTTCTGCTTTATACTCCTTGCCTTACCACAGGCCTAAAGCAATGCAGCCATTTGGTTATGGATTGAAATCTCTAAACTGATGCCAAGCAGCCCTTTCATATATATTGTCTCGAGTATTTTGTCATGAGGGAAACTTGACCAACAGAGTCATTGTTCATTCTAAATTACGGTTGATGTGTTTTCCCAAAGTGCCCAGTTCAGTGCTCTACACACAATGAACTGCTTTTAATTCGGGGCCTTTAGTTTTTTTGTGTGTTTCATTTAATCTCTGCTCAAAAGGAAAAGGTGAAAGTATCAATTTGGCATCACTTTTTTTTCTTTTCTTTTAGTTGTGGGGCTTGAACTCAGAGCCTGGGAACTGTCCCCGAGTTTATCTGCTCAAGGCTAACACTACCAGTTTGAGCCACAGCTCCAATTCTGGTTTTCTGGTGGTTGGAGATAAGAGTCAGAGAATTGCGGATTGCTTGGTCTCAGTCTCCTCAGTGTGAGCAACTCAAACCCAGCTAGCTGCAACACTATTTCTGACCTATGTAATAACAAGACAAAAGGGGAGAGGGCATCATAAAAAACACATTTTCTCCATGCAGTCCCAGGTGGGAAGTCTGAAGAAAAAGAAAGGGACTTTGTTATTTCAGGTTTGATTCAAACCCTTGTGTGACTCATAATACTCCTTGTGTAAGGAGCAAAGACCCGGCTTTTCCCATGGTAGAGGTCTGGAAAAGGGCCCTGTTGATCAAAGGTTCATGGTAATGTACTAATGATATAGTAATGACACTGATAGCTGCTATTTTGCAGCCTTGTTACTCACTCCTATGTGTAGTCCAAGACACTTTGGAACATCATAAAACTTTTTCTCCCATTTCTCTCATTTCTTCTCTTAGTCTACTCAAATCTTGCCATCTCTTCCATCATTGCCTTACCTATACAGTCCTTAATCTAGTCACTGGTACCCTAATCAAGTCACTGGTATCACTGGCTGCTATAGGCCATGGGGGTATAGTCTGGCTGCTTATTCATGTTATAAAGACAATGGAAAGGTTCTATTAAAATGAGAGAAATAACATGAAAGCATGAATTAGAACAAAGGGAATAGAAGGTTATTTGCCTTTCCAAACATACCTGAAAGTCATATGCAGAATAAGGTGGCAGATGGGGAGGGCTATGGTAGTAGGTATTGTATGATGCCACTTGGGGACGAGCATAGTAAGAAACTGTCGGATGTGTATTTTCAACAGAACAGTTCAGTGCTGGGAGAGTGGGGTTCTGTGGAAAAACACAAGTTAGAAACAACATAAATTTTCATCACTAGAATGCTTATTACATTCCCATTAGCAGTGTATGTGTCCATTTTTCCCTTCAGCAGCATTTGTTATTTGTTATTTTTTTTTTGACAGTAGCCATTCTGACTGGGATGAGGAAAATCTCAATGTCATTTTGATTTACCTTTGCTTTATAGGTAAAGATTTTTTTAACATATCTTCATGTGTTTATTGACCATTTGTACTTCTTTTGAAAACGTTTAATTAATTTGCTCATTAATTGGGTTTATTCGTTTGGTGTTTAATTCACAATTTTAAAGCTACTATGTATTGTGTCCCAACTTTTTAACTTGAAAACTTCAAACCTATAGAAAAACAATGATTTCTATGACTTTTAAAAACAAGGGTTTAAAAGTAAGATCTGAAAACTGTCAAATTGCAAGGCTCTTGATAGGACAGAATGCATTTAATCACAAAATATTTGTAAAGGTGAGGATTCTTACACATTCCATTCTTCCTAATGAGCTCTTCTGAATATATGAAGGACATATAGTGAAAATATGTAGACAAACTTTGGCAATGGCACAGACAACCACTTTAGGGTTTTGGCAGGGGAAACTCCTTTGCAGCAAGTTTCAACACAGTTCAGTTGCTCCCTTCCTTCTAGTGGCTGACTGTTGACTTGTCTAGGAGGTTTGAAGAACTCGGTCATTACAATTCAGCTCACAAACAAGAGAAATGTTTGGCAGCCTCTACCTAGTGGTATGGAATTTTGACTATTCCAAGGACTGACTTGCCTTAAAAAGGAAGAACTCTTAGAGATGTAGAAATATAAAACTAAGTGTGGATCCCTGCTTGTCACCATGTACTAACACCAACTCAAAAATGGATTAAGGACCTCAACATCAGACTTGAAACTGAAACTACTGCAAGACAGAGTAGAAAAGACATCAGAACTTATAGGCACAGGCAGGAACTTCCTGAATAGAGACAACAGATAAGAGAGAGACTTGACAAATGGGACTACATGAAAATAAAAAGTTTATGCACAGCGAAAGACATAGCTACTAAACTAGAAAGACGACCAACCAATTGGGAAAAGGTCTTTACCAGAAATACATCCGACAAAGGCCTAATATACGATATATACAGGGATCTCAAGAAACTAACCCTTTCCAAACCTAATAAACCAATCATTGAATGGGCAAGATAGCTAAGGAGAGACTTCTCAGAAGTGGGAAGAATGGCAAACAAACACATGAGGAAATGTTCATCATCTCTGGCAATAAAGGAAATGCAAATTAAAACAACCCTGAGATATTATCTAAACCCCAGTTAGACTGGCCAATTTAGACAATAACAAATGCTGTCATGTATATGGAGAAAAGGTAACCCTACTACACTGTTGGTGGGAATATAATACAACCACTCTGGAAAGCATTCTGGAGGTTCCTCAAAAAATAAAACTTAGACCTTCCCTACAACCCAGCCATACCACTCCTATGCATCTTCCCTGATCATCATGGACCAAGATATGACAAGGACAACTGAACATCCATGTTCATTGCTGCACTATTCACAATAGCCAACATATGGAAACAACCCAGATGCCTCACAATATATGGATGGATCCAAAAAACGTGGTACGTATATGCAATAGAATTTTACACAGCCATTAGAAAGAATAAAATAATGACATTTGCAGGGAAATGGATGGAACTAGAACAAATCATGTTGAATGAGGGAAGCCAAGATCAGAGAGACAAGGGGCACATATTCTCCCTGATATGCAGAATTTGGATTTAAAATGCAATGGGATATGGCAAAGTATTCAGGATTCTAGACACGCATATACAGTGGGACCAAAAGAGGATAGTCTTAGGAGAAAATCACCAAGTTGTAATACCCAAGCACCTCTTCATACATATATAAAATAATATACAAGGGCTTGGAAGGTGACTCAGTGGTAGAGTGCTTGCCTCGCATGTATGAGGCCCTGGGTTCGATTCCTCAGCACCACATAAGCAGAAACAAAAGCCAGAAGTGGCACTGTGGTTCAAGTGGTAGAGTGCTAGCTTTGAGCTGAAGAGCTGAGGGACAGTGCCCTGGCCCAGAGTTCAAGCCCCACAACTGACAAAATAATAATAATAATAATAATAAACATACTGTAAAGAACTCCAAAGACAAGGAAGCAAAGGACCTTTTCTTAATTTGTCTTTTTGTTTTCAGATGACTGTATTCTTTACCTCATATACGGTGTATTCACATGCACATCTGAGGGAAGATGTGGGAGGGCACAAAATCAGTGGAAAACAGGTGAAAAAGTGCAACAGTGGAGCCCACAGGCTACACTGGACATTGATGAAAGTGAACCAAGCAGAGATGGGAGGGAGAGAATGAGGGAACAGATGAATCTAAGCAAAAGGAAAGAAATGTACTTATGACCTACTGTATGTAAAGGTAACCCCATTGTATCTCACCTCTAAAACAACAGTAAGGTAATTAAATAAATGGAGACCAAAAGTGAGCAGGCTTATCTATAGGCTTTGATTCAAAAAGTATAAAATGAGATAAAATAGGTCACAATATAATGATACAGAGATCAATTCAACAAGAGAAAACACGAGCTAGCACATATGTATTTAGAGTTACTAGTGATAAAATGTTGCAAGCTGGTTAATAAAGTGTATGACAAATACATTGGAACAACAAAAAAATGAAATGTAGAAATGTCTTTTCCTCCCCACCAGCATTCTTAGAAGAAATTTCACCACTAATCATGTTCCCTTGGTTTTCTGTCCATTAAAACCACAGCCACCCACCTCTTGGAAAATGAAGCCAGCTCTTTTATCCAAATTAACTAAGCCTAATTATGGTAAAAACACTCATGCAATGGGAACTATGTTTACGATAGTTTTGGTATGCTCAATGAGGCTAGGCATCCAGGAACATATTTGACAGGAAATTGATTATTGCAGGGGAAGTAACAACAAAAGCAAGTTGAATAGGCATAGTAATACCACTGAGAAGGACTGAGAGTGGAGAGAAATGACAAGGTAACAAGAGAGAAAGTGGAAGATGAAGTGAGGCAAAAGGTGATAAAAACTTGGGCAGCAATGAGACAAAAGAGATGGTCTGAAAAATAAGTAGTTTGGTTATACTTTAAACCAATAGTTCTGATTTTACTCTGCTCTATTTGTGTGCACATGTGTGTATATGTGTGGGCGGGTGTTAAAATTCTGTGGCTTAAGTTCTAAGGCTCCCATTATTGATCATTAGTATTCTGAGCTCTAGTCAAACAAAGTTACTAGGTAGCACAGGAAATGGCTAAAGCAATTTTGCCTGGACAAAACTCTATTCTGAGATAATGATTGCAGATTTTGGAAAGACTGTCCCTTTATTCCTCTAGCTTACTTCAAACCAAAAATACCAGTTAGGAGAGGACAGCAAGATATATTGGCTTTATAAAGATTTATCTTAAATCCTTACATCTATTGTCAATCAATGAACAATGCGTCATACATTTCTTTGAGCTTATTTTCACCAAGCACCTCTGATCTAAGAATGAAGACTTTCTCTTTTTTCTCTCACGATCCCACAACTCTAGAAATGCTTACTCCTAGCTCTTTCTATTGAAGGCTGCCAGCTCACAGCACTTGGCTCCTGTCCTTACTCGCTGGAAATAGCTTCCATCAGTCAATACCTCTGGGCTCCCTACAGACCCCAGGGTACTCTACTCAAAGAGAAGACATCAACCACATTTGGACCTAGGCTAAGCATCGTACATGAGCTCACCAGGTTAATGTCTCATGACTTTTTTTTTGGGGGGGGGGTCCGGTCCTGGGGCCTGAACTCTGGGCCTGGGTGCTGTCCCTCAGCTCTTCAGCTCAAGGCTAGTGCTCTACCACTTGAGCCATAGCGCCACTTCTGGCTTTTTTTTCTTTTTGCTTATGTGGTGCTGAGGAATCGAACCCAGGGCCTCATGCATGCAAGGCAAGCGCTCTACCACTGAGCCACCTTCCCAGCTCTATCTCATGACTTTTTATGTCATGTTATTAGAAGAGTTCTTTGTAGTTGTCCCTCCTTGGTGGCTTCATCTTATACTCCTACTAATGTCATCTCATGAATCAAGTATCTTTTCTGACCACTACCATCTCCTCCTCCTCCTCTTCCTCCCCTCCTCTTCCTTCCCTCTTCTTCCTCCTCTTCTTCCTCCCTTCTTCTTCCTCCCCTCTTCTTCCTCCCCTCCTCCTTCTCCCCTCCTCTTCCTTCTCCTGCTTCTCTTCCTCCTCCTTCTCTTCCTCCTCCTCCTTCTTCTTAAGTACTTGTACAAAGGAGTTACAATTCCATAAGTCAGATTGTGAGTATAATGCTTTTTGATATCACTCCTCTTTTTGTTCCTGATCTTTTCTTTTGTCTTTTATTTTCCCCTCTGTTCCTTGAGAAACTTCCCAGGTTGCCATTTAATAATGTTTGGTACTTCCCTCATCCTCTGATCTACTGGCGAAAGAAGCTTTCAGTGGTTAAAAACAACTCACTTGTAATTTATTTTAATCAAAACAACCAAACAAAGTAGGTAATGTTTGTTACACTTATAGAACCAGTTAGGGACAGCAGGGATGTAGTGGAAAGAGCAAGGGCTTCTGGCATCTGATAGATCTGATCTGGGCTCCAGTCCCAGTTCTGGTATTTAGCTCTGAGCAAATCACTTGACCCTTCTTGGCCTATTTCCTTATCTGTTCAATGGGGATGGTAATAACTATGTCACAAGATACTAATAGTGAAGAGAAAAAGAAGTAAATATGCAAAAGGATGTTATTAACGGGCTGATAATGCACTTCTCCAGACAGAACATCAATAAACTCCTTATTCCTTTGTATATCAAAGGTAATTGAAACTAAGAATCCAGAGACAAATCTATACATCTGAGGTTAACTGATTTTTCACAAGCTGTCTAAGACCTAAAATGGGGAAAGAATAGTCTCTTGAACAGCTGTACTGGACAATTGGGTATCCATATGAAAAAAAATGAATGAAATTGGACCCCTACTTCACACTAAAAATTAAATAAAAATGGAGCAAAGACCTAAAGGTAGCAACTGAAAATATAAAACTCTTAGAAAAAAAGGGGAAAATCTTCATGGCCTTGGATTTGGCAATAGGTTCTAAGATACAACATCAGAAGCATGTACAGCAACAACAAAGACAGATTAACCAGATCTCATTGAAAGTAAAACATTCAGCATCAAGGGACATTATCAGCAAAGTTACAATATAGCCTATAGAATAGGAGAAAGTATTTGCAAATCATGTATCTGATAAGGGTCTAGTATCCACAATATACAAAGAACTCTTACAAGTCAACAACAAAAAGACAAACATAAAAAATGGGCAAATAGATTCATAGTGGTGCATGGCCCAGTAATCCAAGTATGTCGGCATGCTGAAGCAGTAAGATCATGAGTTTCAAAGCAGCTTGGGCTACATAGTAAAAATCTTAAGTAGGCATTGATCCAAAGAAGGCATACAAAGTGCCCACAAGGACATGAAAGATGTCTGACATCATCCATTAGGGAAAGGCAAATCAAAACCATGGTGAGATACTATTTTTTACCCACAAGAATACCTACATTTTTTCTGTTCATGCTTTTAAAAATTATTATCGTTAAGTAGTCATGCAAAGGAGTTGCCATTTGACAAAGCAGTTTATGAATACAATATATCTTGATGAATGTCATCCTTTTTTGACAGTCTAGGATCAAATTACAAACTGCCTTTCAAGTTTCTGTTTCTTCCAGACCCCCAAATGGGTCAGAAACAATGAAGAGCCTAAAATCTGTCTCATTTCTGGGGTCAAAAGAGTATTTTTTAGCACAAAATAATTCCCTAAGCATACGTGGAACATTCCTTTAAATGAGTGGTAATCAACCCCAGCTGAAGGTTAGAATCATTTGTGGATTTTTTAAAAAATCATTTATGCCTGGGTTTTGGTTTAGACTAACTAAATCTGAAACTCTGAGAAGCCCTGATATGTGGACTTCTATGGGGTTTGGGGGCAGGGAAGGTACATAAATCAAGTGATTCTAATATGAAACAGGATTGATAACCATAGCTTCATGGAGATCAAGGTTTATCAACTTAGCAACTAAGAACAGAAAAATTCTATACATGCAAAGGAATAGAGGCCTCTATCATTACAGAGGGATCAAGTATTGGATACTGAGTGCTGGTATGGATTTGTAGACACATACATGTGCACACACGCAACACACACAAATAGGGGAAAGATTTGAAAGAGATGAACAAGAGTATGGATAGGTTCAGATTGAAATTTGAGCTTGAAGACAAGAGCAGCCATTTTTTCCATTTAAAGAACCTAGAGCTGGTTCTTTAAATGGAAAAAAGCCTAGTTGCTTTTAACAAAGAAACTCCAGGATGGCATTCCTAGGAAGGGGGAAGTTAGCTTTATTTTGTCTATAGCTATAAACTTTTCTTCTTTCTCAAAAACTGTTAAGGGAAAAACTATCTAAGCAGGTTTCCACTAAAAGTGTCCAGGAGAGGGTATGATAGACTGTCTATATAACCATAATGAAGAAGGGAACTGAAAACACGCTTCCCTCCTCCCATCCTACCCATAAAATGTGCCTCAAGAACAAAGGCAACTCATATGAACAAGAAATCTTTCCAGTTTGATTATGTTACCTAGCTCCTTTAGCTTGAAGGAAGTTATGCCCTTAAAGCAAATACTTCTGATTCCTCCCTTCAAAATATGGGTCTCCACTGCATCAAGCTGTCTACCCTTGTCTTCTACCTCCAACAGTGGCTGCTGTGTGGGCTGATGATGTTACTGGCTCCTTCACCTTGAAAGCAGCTATGTCCTTAAAGTAAATGTTTCTGATTCTTCCCTTCAAAATATAGGTCTCCATTACTTCAAACTGTCTACCTTTTGCCCCTACCTCCAGTAGGGGTTACTATGAAATGGAAAGTCATTTCCTTCCTTACCATATCCTTAAAGCCTCCCAGAACAGCTGCAGTGATGATACCCAGGAACAGGCCGACAATGTTGAGGATGGTGGCAGACCAGAGCAGATGGTAGAGGTGGATAATATCCTGGCAGCTGCTGACATCAATGTATTCATAGTACCCACCGGTGATCTCCACCCTGCTGCAATGGGAGGAACACAGATTATCAGTTCCCTGGCACCTGCCTTCCCTCAGAAATTTGGCTACCATATAGTTTACCAGGTGGGGAACTGCTATAGGGGACATCATAGCCATGCACTTGGAGAGCAAAACACGATAACAAATCGAAGTTTGATTAGTTTATCTAAAAAAAAACAAGAGAAACTACTTGTCAGAGAAACTCTGGGATCTATCATTAGCATTATTCCTAGATAGAACTTCTATGATACTTTTTATCTACCAGGCATAGTGCTAAGTATTTTACAGACCAGAATATCACTTTCTTGGAGAGGCCACCCTGACCACCCAGTCCAATTGCTTTCAATCACATTACTAGCTGTAGACCAAATTGTATCTCGTCAAATTCATATGTGGAAGAAAGATTTAACCCTTAATGAGATTGTAAAGTTGACTCTCTATATGCACTGTTTCTGCATGTGTTCTATCAACCATGGATTGAAATATTTCTTTTTCTTTTCTTTGTTGGTCATGGGGCTTGAACTCTGGGCCTGGGCACTGCCCTTCAGCTCACGGTGAGTGCTCTGCCACTTGAGCCACAGCACCACTTCTGGTTTTCTGGTGGTTAATTGGAGATAAGAGTCTCATGGACTTTCCTGCCTTGGCTGGCTTTCAACTGCAATCCTCAGATCTCAGCCTCCTGAGTAGCTAGGATTACAGGTGTGAGCCACCGGCAACTTGGATTGAAAATATTTTAACAAGTGAGTTGGCACTTTTTCTTGTATAGAGTTTTTTGCATCCCTATTCTCTACACAAAGCAGTTTAACAGCTATTTACATAGTATTTACATTGGATTAGGTGTTATAAGTTATCTGTAGATAATTTAAAGAATACAAGAGGCTATATTTAGGTTGTATAGAAATATTATGCTATTTTATATAAAAGATTGAGCATCTGTGTACTTTAGAATCAGCAGGACACTGAGGGCTAGAACCAATCCTCCTTGTATACAGAAAGACAACTGAACCAACTGTATTTGTAAATAGGGATTTTAGAAGATAATTAAGTTTAAATACTGACTTCAGGATGAGATTTTTCATCTGATGGAATTGACAGTTTTATAAGAGGATGAAGTCTAGAGAACTCCCACCAGAAGCTGACTCTGCTGATAACCTGATCTCGGAATTCCCAGACTCTGTAATTATGAGAAAATAAAATTCTGTTGTTAAAACCATGTTGTCTATGACATTTTTTATGGCAGCCTGAGAATACTAACACACTACCCTACTCTATTCCTCTGGAGCCACATCACTAGCTTAGTGATGTGTTTCTTCATTATTGCTTGCCCTTCCAACTTGAATATGGTCTCCATGGGGAAAAAGGATTGGTACATTTAGTTCAGTGTAGTGGCAAACACATATTTAATGCTACATAAATACCATTTGAATTCATTAAATGAAAAGTTTCTGTCCTCCTAGATGTTGCAAAGCAGTTAACTTGGCTACTGGAATTGATAATGAATCTGAAACATGGTAATTTTTAACCTTGCACTCATAATTAAACATTCCAGAATCAGGATAATTACATGTGACTTGCCTGTTATAAGAACACTAACACAAAAAAATATCAAAGGTTGTCAGATATAGTGGCACAAACTTGTAATCCCAGCACTTTGGAATCTGAGTCAGGAGTGTCAATGAGTTTGAGTAGCTTGGGCTACATAGGGAGACTCTCTCAAAAAAATTAGAGTAATCTCTACTGAACCAATGAGGGATTATACATATAAGAAGAGATTTTTAAACTTTACAAATTAATTTATTTGAGGATTTTTTAAAAGTCAGTTTCTCAGGAATTTTAACCAGCATTACAATCATCAGATTATTTTTTCTGCTGGCATGAGGTATTGTGCTATTGATGTGTGCCTCTAAGGGTCCCACTGTGTGTATTTATGTATATGTGCATATGTCTTGGAAGAAAAGATAGTTAAACATGCAGAACCCAGCCTCAGTCCTACTGGATCTGAAAGATTCTCTGGTGCTAGGATTCAGGAGTCTGTGGTAGTAAGCCTATCAATATAGGGGACCCAGTTTTCAATCATAAACTTCCATAGTGGAATTTTGAGGGTGCTACATTTAATTAAAGTTTGAATTTGATTTCAGTATTTTTAAGATTATGTCTTAAAAGTCTGTTGGTAAGCACACTTTGAGTGTCTCTTGTGAGTTGACACTATAGCCTTGAAGACCAGGATGGAAGAGTGGACAGATTACTGACTGCCCCACAAGACACAGTTCTGCAGGGACCATCTCCTGAAAATGGCAGGCCTGTACTCCAGTTGCATTTGGGATTGGAAGAGTGCAATAGTGGCTTAGCAGTCAGCTTCTGATGTCCTTCAAATTCTCTTTGCTTACCTCCCAAATTATTTAAGTGCCTTCTATAGTGTACTTGGCAGTGAACTGCATTGAAATTCTCACTCTTGTTATTTTTTGTTTTTGCTGCCTGATCTTAACCAGCTTTCTCAGACTATCTGAGTCTAGGAGATTTAATGATAACACACACGAAAGCCATACTGTAGCACATATTATGAACACCCACAAAAACACATAGCAATATTTTGTCCCTTCCAAGAGCCACCTTTGGCAATGCATTTCAAAACTTTGAATTCCATGAGAAAAGCATTCATTCTTTAGAAGAACCAGCTTCAACACGGACATAGATGAATAGTTCAAGTATTCAGTAACTAGGGGCTGGAGATGTGATGCAGTGGAAGAGCTCTTGCCTAAGATGTGCAAGTCTCTTGGTTCCATCCCTAGCAATGCAAAAAAAATTCAATAACTTTAGAAAAGATATGTTTAGTGTCAATTTGAGTGATTCAACCCCTATTTAAAATTTTAAACTGAACCATGAGGCAAAAGCAAGTTAATGTTTAGATACAGTCCTATTTTAGCCAATTAATGTGGTTTGTTTCTGTTTGAAATTCATGGTTTCATTTGGTCTAGTCTCTGGACAGAGTTTCCTCTGAAACTGCATCTTCCCACTGCCTCCATCCGAAGGCCGCTAAGATTGTAAAACCACACTGCTGCCTGATTACTATTCCTAAAACATTTTTATTTAAACTATGCCATTCATTTAATCAGAACATTTCTATGGCTGTCCATTATCTTTAGGAGAAAAGGTCCAAATTCCCACTGGCCACAATCCAGCTCCAAATAGTCTATACTCCAGCTATCCTGGAGTCCTAAGAAGCCCCAAGCTAACTCTAATGGGATTTATTTTGAATGTTTGCTCAGATTTCTCCTCTTCCGTAGAAAGTAGTGCTCTCTGTTCTCTGCATGTCCTAATCTTTTCCACCATTCTAAGTTTATTTAAGTACTCTAGTGCCCACATAGTAGCTTATCCCCTGGACTCCCACAGCTTCAGACTGTCTATTCTTTTTAGTTTGCCACATTGCATGTCAATCATTCACTTATTCCTTTAATTCAATATGTGCTACAACTGAGTCCAAGGCCACCATGATGTCTATCAAAACTGTAAGCTCTTGAAGGCAAGGGTCATCTATCACATTTCTTTGTGGTTCCCTTACTTCCTAGCACAGTGGTAGAAATGTTAAAGATCATGATTAAGTACTTAGTGAGTAAGTAACTGAGTGCAAACACTTGCATTGATCATGAGATTAATTACCTAATATAAGTATGTACCCCTTGTTCTCCACATTCTTGCAGACCTAAGGAGACAGCCTCTCTGTATTTCAGTTGCCACTTATAATAAGAGACAGCAGCAGATCTTGGATAAAGTAGGAGGGCATCCTTGTAGAGGTCAGGGACCTGGGACCATTTGGTAATTCTTGGCAGATAGACAGTTCTCTCCCTGTCTGTCTGTCTGTCTGTCTGTCTTTCTCTCTCTCTCTCTTTCCTCTTTCCTTTCTCTCTCCTCTTCTCTCTCTCTGTCACTATCTCCTCTCTAGCTCTCTCCCCTTCCCTTCCTTTCTTTTTCCTTTGCTTTCCCTCTCTCCTTTACTTCTCCCTTCCCTTCTCCCCCGGATCTCCGCTTATACACTATATTTTTCAGTTCGGTTCCAACAATCTTACTGAAAAATTGAGTTTCTTCAGGGAAAACTGTCTTCTGGCTCAAATTCTTTTAGAGCAGCCCCTGACACATAGTAGGAGATATATAAAAATTGTCAAAGGAAGCAATGAAGGAAAATAAACTTTTTTCATTTTGTTACCAGCTGAGGCAGTTCACAAACCACTCCATTTCCTTTAGGTTATATATTGAAAACCAGTGATATTGACTTGACCTCTCCAAAGACAAGTGAGCAAATGAAAGCCAAAAGTACTTTAAAAGGCAGCCAGTGAAGAGCTGTGTCCTAGAGAAAGCCACCTTCCTTCACAAGGCTAAATGGAATAAGCTATGTTTGGTATTAAAACCTCACTACCCATGACATCAAAGAAGGTCTGTGGGTTCAAGGGGACAGTAAGATCTCTGTTTCTGTAGCACCGTAAAAATGACTGCCTGATGTTTTGTTCCCACTTTTTTTCTTGGCCTCCTTTCCAGGAAATAAACCAGAGGAACTGGCAATTGATTAAAAATAGGCTTTGCATGAAGAAAACAAACCATTTGGCAAAATTAAAGTCTCCAAGCCTCAGAATGTTGGTTGCTTAACTATATTTATGCCCCAAGTTTAGGTGTCATTGGCTCTGGCTGGAAGAAGCCCCAGGTCTAGGAAAATGTTTTCCTTTGATTGTGAGACTGTTCCATGGCCTGTCTCACGGCCTGAGTTTATGACCTGATGTAAAGCTAAGCAAGTCCTTTTCTACTGGCTCTGCCCTTGGAATCTGGGCACCACAGATTTGGAAAAGGTTACTGAAAGATGCCTGGCACTGAATGCAGACACAAAATATGTGAAAGCCATTTCTAGACTTGAAGATCTTTAGGGGCCATGTTCCCAGGACCCCTGTCAGTTATCTAATGCAGTATTTTCTTTTTCTCATGAAAGAAACAAATTCTCCCCTGGACTGCCACAGTCCTTTCAACAAATGTCACTCACTTTTCATCAGCTCTTTCCTCATGGCTAGCCCTGTGATAGAGTACATACATAAGATTATGTCATTCTCCCTGCTCTTTGAGTCCTCATAGTTTAGCACAGTCCCTCATTTCTTTATTAAAAACAATAGTGGTAGCTGGGTTCTGGTGGCTCACACCTGTAATCCTACCTACTCAGGAGGCTCAGATCTGAAGATAGTGTTTAAAAGATGGCACTGGCATGAAAGATTGTGAGACTTTTCTCTCCAATAAACCACAAAATGTGGAGCTGTGGCTCAAGTGGTAGAGCACTAACCTTGAGCAAAAAAGCTCAGGGACAGAACCCGGGCTCATAGTTCAATCCCTAGGATCAGTAACATTTTTTTTAAGTGATAAAACTTGCTTTAAGAAAGTAAGTCAGATATCATGAAATTCAGATTGATAAATAGTATTTAAGACTTCTCACTTTAAAGAAAAGAAAATATTTACCCGAAGGCTCTGCTAAATCCATCCTTTTTCAGAAACACATCCACAACAGAGAAAAAGAGTGTCTGTAAGGGATCACTTCACCTCCCTCTTTGGGCCTCCTCTCAACTCCAGATCTCAGGCCTAGTTCCAGGAAGTTTCCAGTCCCTACCCCAGGAGGCTGGGAAACAGGGAAAATAAAGCTGGGGAGAAGCAATAGACGAGTGTAGCAACGAGAATGGAGGAAGCTGGCAAGGAAATAAAGAAAGAGAGAAGATAAAAAGAGAGGGAAGGATGGAGCAGAAGTGTGGATTAAGGAGAATCAAGAGGAAAGATAGCAAAATAACCTCAATTCCCCTAGAATATATTTTATGTTCCTTTGATCAGTTTTTGAAAAAATGGTCTCAGGAAGTGTAATTATAACCAGCTCTCAATCATAGCTGCTAAGGAGAGAAGTCATTTACAAGTGTTAGTTATTATTACAACATGAATAATTGAACCTTCCATATAATCTCTAAACCTCATTTGCATCTTTAAATTTTTCTTCCTCCACTACCAACTCTTTGAAGGAAATGAAAGCCCTGTTAGGAAAGAAGGGAAAAGGCTGAAGAGGCTCCTCTCTGTTTCCAGCCAGCCAGGTCTTAACCAGACACCAGAGAAACAGGCCCCTAGATACCAAAAGCTGGGAATGTGTGTGAGGAGGAGGTTGCGTAAGTCTGGAACCTCTAGATCTGGCTCCATCCAGTCCCCACCCCCACCAGTTCCTCCTTTACTCCCACTCTTGGCCCCCAGCTCTCTTGCACTGAGTCTGAAAAACAATTGTTCCTGGGCAGGAGCTAGCTGAAAACACCTGACATGATGGAGGAGACGGTTTTTTCCTCTCCACATTGCTATTAGATTCTACCTTGTCTGTTTCTCTTTTTTTTTTTTTTTTGGTCGGTCATGGGGCTTGAACTCTGGGCCTGGGCGCTGTCCCTCAGTTTTTCACTTCAAGGCCAGCGCTCTACCACTTGAGCTACAGCGCCACTTCCCTTGTCTGTTTCTCTTAAAATATGATTTGTTTTCTATTGTTCCCAAACCAATTTAATCTAGGCTCGATTCTCTGTAGCCTGTGCTATTGCAGTGGCCTCCTAGATACCCACAGTCTCTACCATTTAAGTCTATCTTCCAAGCTGTATCCTTCAATAGTTTCCAGTTGTCTATTTATGCTAAATCAAAGCCATTCCTAGGGTCAACTGATTTTCTAATATCTGACCTCTGGTTTACAGCTCTGTTCTCACCTTCTACACACTTTCTGTTACTCCTCCACCCCTTACCTCCTGACAAGTATCAAGAATATGTCTTTTCTACCTCTACCACATTTAGGTTTGTCTCTTAACTTCTATTTTTTTTTATATATTTTTGGGGGGGAGTCCGGTCGTGGGGCCTGAACTCTGGGCCTGATTGCTGTCCCTCAGTTCTTCAGCTCAAGGCTAGCGCTCTACCACTTGAGCCACAGTGCCACTTCCAGCTTTTTTCTTTTTGCTTATGTGGTGCTGAGGAATTGAACCCAGGGCCTCAGGCATGCAAGACAAGCGTTCTACCACTGAGCCACCTTCCCAACCCATCTCTTAACTTCTTAATTAGCCTTTATGTGTCAGTTCCTACACTGCATCCTCCTCAACACTACTACCATCTTCTGTAAACTGCCCTTCATTTATTTACACCACCTAGGTCACCAGGATATCCCCACAATCCTCACTACATTTATCACACGAAACTGATATCAGTTGGTCACGTCTGTCTTCTATACTAATCTTTTGAGTATGACAGTGGAAATTCTATATTCCTAGTACCTAAATATGTTTTGAAAGAAATAATAAATGATATTTTGTCTGTTGGTGAGCAGAGAACCAGATGGTTATAGCAGAACTAGTATCAGCCCCATTCATGCCTCAGGGCCTTTGCATGCAACACTGTAGCTTTCCCAGGTATGTAGGTGGATTGTCTCTCATGACATTCAGATTTCTATACAAATCTTACCTTCTCAAAGAAATATTTCCTGGCTGCTCTATCTAATACAGCACACAACACACACACACACACACACACACACACACACACACACACACACACACACACACACACACACACCCCTCTACTTCATCAAGATCTATCTTCTCCTGTTTCATTTTTCTTCAGTGTTCTATCACCACCTAGCATTGTATTATGTTTTTTGTGTTAATTGACTCTGCCTTATTAGGACAAAAGCTCCATGAAGTAAAAACTTCTATTTTATTTGCTTCTGATTCTCCAGTGTGTAGTACAGTGCAAGACACTGAGGTGCTCAATAACTATTTGTTGAATGTTGAATAATCTTATATAAATGCTCAGTTCAATTCCTAATTCTAATTTTCCACTTTTGTATGACTTTCAGCTAGATATATTTCTGCTGAGCCTTACTTGGTCATCTGTAAAATTAAAATATCTCTACCTACCTAACAGGCAAAAATTAAATGAGATCGAGTATGTTAAAGCACTTAACACAGTATCTGGTATGGAAAAGGCAGGAAATATAACTGAAATCTATGGACAGACCAACACTATCTACTTACTTCTGTGGTCCCTATCACTGAGACTTTTCCAACCTTGGCTCTTGTCATATCCAGTGTGGATATGTACCTGGGGCTTCATACTTACTTTCCACAGTTGTAGAGGTCACAGCAGAAGCAAGTATTACCCCGGATGCGAGGTGTGCAGAATCCACGGCTGAGATGAGGGCAATTCACCTGAGGGTAAAGTACAGCAAGAACATGAGCTAACATCCAATAGAAGGAAGGACACTTTGAAAATGTGAGTTAGTGACTGATGGAGACAATAAGGATGGCTGTGACATGATTACACCTATACATGAGAGGGAGGAGACTGAGCAGGGAAGTGGTAAAATGTATGCATAAAGCAAATCACTGTGTAGCTCGGCTTCCATTCAGCCTTAGCCATAACCCTTAGTACCCCAACCCTGAAAGATGGAGATGGAGAGGAGGAAGGCCAGGCAGAAGGACAGATGGAAGAACAAATGGACAGTAGAGAATGAGGACAGAATGTGAGAGGAAACCAGGACACAGATAGAAAGAAAATTGGGTAGAGAAGAAGACAGAGGGGCCATCACATGCACTCTGAAGTACAATAGTACCTCTCTAGCTGCCTGGGTAAGGTTCCTCATAACCCTCGCGGAAGGAGAATTTTTGGTTGAGGAACTTATGACCTTACACAGGAAAAATAGGGTTAGGGGGACCAGGGTTACAATCAAACCTATGGAAGTCATTATCACTATTTTCACAATGACCAGGTTAACACAACAAAATCATTACAATGAAAACAAGATAATATCTATGACAGTTTATACACTTTGAGTTTGCAAACATTTTTAAAAAATTAACAAACACTTATTTCCATTTACAATCGCTTGTTTGCAAGAAAATTTCCAGGTTCCCTCCCCTATCTGCACACAATAAAGTGATTGTAAATTTGTTTTGCCTTTGTTATAGAGAACAGTCACAGTAAATAGACCCTTTTTATTCTATATTGGCTCCTTCATCCAAATGTTTACTGTCTTTGTGATAAATGTCAGCAATACACATTTCTATTCCTCCTTTCTAACCCAAGAAGAGTTAGAAAAAATGGTAACTTTGTAGTTGGTAACATAAATGACTAAAGCAAAATATAAATATTTGTGAGGATGCCCGGGCAGCAAGATTATCACTCTACCTGACTCTAGAGGTACCATTTAAGTCATTTTGTGTAAAATGGCTTCCCCTGAAGCTGAACCATGAAGCGACCATTTTGCTTCCACCTTGCCTTTCTTTCCAATAACATGTTTATTCTTTTTCTGACTGTTCTGGAAGGTGACTGACTTTCAGTTTGAGGTTAAAAGAGTACCAAATTATTATATCTTCTGGAAACACAGAGTTTCATGCAAAGAAATTTTTGGGTTAGGGAAACATGATTTACTGAAAAGAAAGATTTCCAAAAATGCTGCAACTGCCCATTGCCTCTAGTTTTATGAGACCCCATGGAACACAAGAAGAGATAAGTGATGTGTAGGGAAGAAAAGAGATCTTATGTACCTTCTTACAGATTATTAGGTTAGCCTCTTGTGGGGGACATGAAACTGGGCAGACTGACAATTTAGGCCAAAGCCATAAAGCAGACCAGGTTGCTCAGCCCTTATTTGGCTTCTAGGCTTTTCCCATGTGTTGGACTCAGGCTCTGCTTCTTTAGACTAGACCTAATACCTTGGTGGGGCTCCCACCTTCTCCCAGCCAAGCACTAAGTCCAGGCAACTGAATCATCTACAAGATGGGGGAGGAGTATGCCCTGTGGACACTTTTTCATCTACACTAAGAGGCTGCTGGTTAGCTGCATAGGGGATCCTCCAGTAAAAAAAAAAAAAAGGAAATCTGATTAGGCCTCATGAGATTCCAATCTCTGACTTCACTAACATTGTTTTCTGACTCATTGGACAAATCAGCTAGACATTCAGCAGTAAACTCCACACCAAGTAAAAGGACGAAAAGAAAACTTTCATGTAAAACAGGAAAGTTTTCTGGGAGGGAAAGATAAATAGTCTCATTCTCTGGCTTACCTCCTCAGCTTCTCTCTGGGATGTCTTGGGGACATAGTGGCACCGGTTAGCATACAGAGGTTTCAGATCCTGGAAAAAGAAACACCAAACCCAGTTTTAGCTTTGAAGAAGAAAGCAGTTTGGTAATAAAATATTTAAATACACACACACACACACATACACACACACACACATACACACACACACATACACACACACACACACACACACACACACACACTAGCAGGTAGGCTGAGTTATTTATGAAATTTGCTCATCTAAGGAACCTGAGAATATAAGGATAAGACAAAAATGTTCTAATAATTGTTTCCTATTGGACTACTTAGTTAATAAAAATTTAGGAAATCAACTGAGAAAGAAGTTACTTGAAATTTTGTTTCTGCTTTTTTTTTTTTTTTTTTTTTACTTTTGGCCTTTTCTACTTGCAAATAATCCCCAATTAGTAAGATTCCAAACTCAAAGTTGTTGTAACAATACATTTCCAAATGGAGAGAGAACACCTCCAATGGTGAAGTCTCATTACCTACTGGGGACTAGACAAGGACTGCTGACTTGTATACTATTGTCATTTCCACAGATTCCACAGAAGGAATTGTTCAGGAGGTGATAAGAGGTCACTCAGCAAGGGATGCAAGCTCTTTATCTTGGAGGCTTACCAAGTTAGGTGGGAAGAGCTGGAAAGAGAAACTGCTTTCTGTTGAATGTCTATACTAGGCCCTCTTAAGGCATGTTGATAACGATTATTTAATTTTATTTTCATGCTGATCATAAATGGTAGGTTACTGTTATATACCACTGGAAGTGAAAGAAACTATGATTCAGTAAAGTAATGTGAGTTTCCCAGATAATTAATGGCCAAAAGTAGGAAAGGGAAAAGAAGGAAATATGAGACAAGAAAGAGAAGAAACAAGACAAACATATAGGGATGTGGTAGAAAGTAGGTCTTGAGAGAAGTTCAGATTCATTCAAGCCAAAGAAACATGACAAGATGATGTTAAAGGATGTTGTTAACAGATCGGCTAGCACTTACCACTCAAGCTATGCTGGGGTAGAAATGTACCTTTCATTTAAGGTAGCCAACAGATATTGCCAGTGATTAACAAAACTCTAAAACTTCTTGGGTATCAGCGAGGACTGCCAGATGGCTTAGAACAAGTACAGTGTAAGAAGAAACATTTTCTTAAAGTTTTGTCCAGCCTTATCCAAAGTCTCTGAATCAATGCTGTAGTACAACTATTAACTTCTGGTTGTACAGAGGACCTATATTCAGGGGCATGTAAATGATCATAACAGGAACATTTCTAGTAAGTAGAATTAAGATTTTTTTCCATTGCCTTTCACTGAAGCCACTGATCAAAAAATGTTAGGAGTGTTGGAAATGCAAATCAAAACTATAATGAGATGCTCCCTCATACCTAGGTTAGATAATAAGAGTTGGTGAACATGTTGATAGATCAGAATCCTTATATACTGCTGGTGACAATGTAAAGCAGCCACTTTGGAATCTGGCTGTTCATCAACCAAGTAAACATGGTTATATTACCTGTCAATTCTAGATCTCAATGGAAAATGGAAGGGAAATGAACATGAAAATATATTTCCATGCAAAATTTGTCCACAAATGTTTTATAGCACTATGGTCATAATAGCCAAAAAGATGGACACAATCTAAATGCCCACCAACAGGTAAACAGGCAAATAAAATTTAGTATATCTAGACAATGGAACATTAATAGGCCGAAAAAGTAATGTAGTACTAATCTATGCTTCATTATGGATGAATATTGAAAATATCACACTAAAGAAGCCAATATGTATGAAATATCTAGAATATGGATATGTATAGAAAAAGAATGCATATTAGTGGTCACTTAGGGCTAGGGAGGATGCAGACAAGGATACAACAGGTAAAAGGTGCAGTTTCTTTCTTTTTTGGGGGGGGGTCCGGTCGGGGGGCCTGACCTCTGGACCTGGGTGCTGTCCCTCAGCTCTTCAGCTCAAGGCTAGTGCTCTACCACTTGACCACAGCGCCACTTCCAGCTTTTTTCTTTTTGCTTATGTGGTGCTGAGGAATCAAACCCAGGGCCTCATGCATGCAAGGCAAGTGCTCTACCACTGAGCCACCTTCCCAGCCCCTGCAGTTTCTTTTTGAGATGATAAAAAAAATCTCCTCAAATCAACTGATGATTGCCTATAACTAAGTACAGTAAAAACCACTGGATTAAACTCTTTAGATGGGTGAGTTGTACAGAATATAAACTATATCTCAATGAAGTTATTAAAAAACATCAGGAGTAGGAGGAGAGAAAAGGACGCCATTTTAGCTCACAATGCCATCAAAATCTACTTCAGGTTTCTTAGCCACTAGGCCTATGTTGCCATGGAGACTGCCTCAGAGTGAATATCACTTGTCAAATGAGGATAATAATGCCTGCCCTACATATCTCACAGGATTGCCATGGGCTTCAAATAAGATAATAGATGTGAAGAAACACAAAAATGCTAAACGAATGACACAAACATAAGGAATTAGTGTTATTAAGATGGGTCTTATTCTTCTGTCACCTTGCACTAATATTGACTCAAAATGGATCAAAGATTTCAACATCAGGCATGAAACATTGAAAGTACTACAGAAAAGAATAGCAGGAACAGAACATACATATTGGCAAATAGGAACTTTCTGAATAGAGTTCCAGGGGCTCAGCAAAATGGAGAGATGATAAAAAAAATGGGTTTACATCAAACTAAAAAGTTTCTGCACAGTTAAGGACATAGTTACTAAGATAAAAAGGCAGCTTAGAGAATGGGAGAAGATCTTTACCAAGTATATATCTGACAAGGACCTAATATCTAGAATATACAAGAAGCTCAAGAAACAAACCCTCCAGATATCAATAACTCAATAAATGGGCAAAAGAAATACATAGAGACTTCACAGAATAAAAAGCAAGATTGGCCAATGAACATGAACAATGAACATGAAGAAATGTTGAACATCCCTGGCCATAGAAGAAATGCAAATCAAAGCAATATTGAGATTCCATCTCACCCCATTAAGACTGGCCATCATCAAGAATATGAACAAGAAATTCTGACAGAGATGTACAGGGTAGGGTGGGGGAAGGAACCCTATTACACTCTTGGTGGGAATGTAAACTAGTGCAACTACTCTGGAAGGTGATTTGGAGATTCCTTAAAAACTTAAACATAGAACTATTGTATGATTCAGCCATACCACACTTGGGCATATACCCAGAACATAACAAGCCAGGATATGGTAAAGACACCTACACATCCATATTCACTGTTGCACAACTCACAATAACCAATTTGTGGAAACAGCCCAGATGCCTTACAGCAGATGAATGGAGTAAGAAAATGTGGTACATATACACAGTGGGATATTAGTCATTCATTAGAAAGAATAATATTATATTATATGCAGAGAAATAGACAGACCAAGAAAAAAGTATGTTAAGTGAAGTAAGTCAGGCTCAAATAGATAAACAGTGCATGTTTTCCACCCCTATGTGGAAGTTATATCTAAAATAGAAACACATGGCAACAAATACACACAATCAAAATGACTAAAAGATAGTAGTATACTTAGAGAAGGAAGTCAAGGATATAACTCCTTTGAACCATTAATGAACAAAATGAATACCAGGAAGTTGGAACATGTTCAAGGGGGAGTCAATGAGAGATGGGGTACATGAATGGAGGGATGAAGGAATGATCAATAAATACAGTCATTACATTCAATATAAATTATGTCAAATTTGAACTTCATACCTTGAGGGCAGGGATGGGAAGGGGAAAAGGGGAGAACAATGGAAGGGGTTCTAGGATTGAAACCCCCTTGTATAACTACTTAATAAAATAAATAAATGTATTTAATGGAGAAGAAGGGGACAGGAATGAAAATATGATGGAAGAGGTGAATTTGTTTAATGTATCCAGTATACTAGTATGAAAATATCACTGTGGAACCCTCTTGTATTACAAATGTGTATTATTTCAAAAATAAAATAAAAAATTAAACATTTTAAAGTAGCAAAAAAGATGGGTCTTATTGAATCAAAAATAGCATGCATAATATGATTGATTTATGCTACAAAATAGGCATACATAATTGAATGGTGGTAGAAGGGGGAGAATGCAGTCAAGAATTCATTGTAAATACCACAAAATTAAGAAAAGTAAGGGAATAGGTGGGTGGAAAGGGGATGATAATATTGAAGGGGTGACACTGATTAAGACACTGTATTCATAAACTGTTTTGGCACCTACTTTGTACAACTACTTAAAGACAATTTTTTTTTCAAATGAGCATACATTTAAGAGATAATAAGAAATGCTATGACAGGTTGGTAGAATTATGTTAAGCATTACTGATAAGATGGGGCCTGCAGTTCATGCCCATAATCCTAGCTACTCAGAAGGCTGAGATCTGAGGATCATCACTGTTCGAAGCCAGCCCAGGTAGAAAAGTCCCTGTGAGAGTCAGAAAAGTTTGATCATCTGACAAAAGGAGACTCTGTTGTCACTGCTTGTTCATGTAGGCTGTTGAAAGGGAAAGCTGCTGAAAGCCACAGAAAATTTGAGTGCTTACAAAAAGTCACATGGCTTCCTGCTGTTCTCCCCACTCCAAACTAGTTCCAAGTCATTCCCCTACCCCAACCACTTATTCCCTTTCTAAATCTTACTCAGGTTTCAATGGCTTATCTCTAGACTTTCCACAACTAGGAAGCTTACCCTGACCTCTGGAATCCACAGTGAACCACTTGGCACTTGGAGTTCATACTCCTAGTTTGGATTCGGTGTATAGATGCTTATGTGTCCACTGATGTTCTCACCCTGACTATCAACACTTCAGGACCCCAGCTTTCCTCTTGTGTAATCTCCTCAAAATACTTAGGACAGTGTTGAGCATCCAGTACACATCCAAAGGTGTTCTGATGGATTGCACATGTACTTTAACCCAGAGCTAATAATACTCACAATGTGTCTGGCAGCAAAGACTCCATCAACTATGGCGCAACAAAAAGCTGCAATCACACCAAAGCTGATAAACACGATAGAAGCTACCAGCTGCAAGGAGAAACAAAAGTGATGGTTATTCTTCCACTCTTGATGCTTCTTGAGATACGCAATCCCCAAGAGATTGCCATCTAAAGCAGAACTCTAGCGTATCATTCATCAGGATGTTATTTTTAGTCATGCAGGATTCAGGGAGGGAAAGAAGGGAACACTGAAGCACTTTCTATATTTCCAGAGAACACTAAGAAATTCACTCTCTGAACACCAAATGAAGAGGAATCTTGCTGGTATCCAGCATGCTATCCATAGAGGAATCCGATTGTACAGATCTTTCAAAGCATCATCGGACTCAGAAAATCTTGGACCTTTTATATCATATTATCCAACCCTCTATTTTATTTATGTGAAAATGGAGGCACAGTGAAAGGAAATGTTATTCCCAGGGTCTCTATCTAGTCTATGGGAGTATCTGATCCCATCAACTCCTACTCCAGCATTCTTTGCATTTCCTCACACAACTTACACCACAGCATAGTGGACATTGATTATAAGGGTAATCTGAAGGGCCTGTATAACCCCATATGGCCTTCAGCATCATTGAAGAAAGAGAACACTCAACTTGTAGACTTAAATGTCATAGACATTTTTTACAAGGATTGAAGTTAGTGAAATGGATCAGTTTTGTAGGGTGTATATGGAAACTTAGAAATAAGAAAAATGGGGGCTGGGAAGGTGGCTCAGTGGTAGAGGGCTAGCCTTGAGCTGAAGAGCTGAGGGACAGCGCCCAGGCCCAGAGTTCGGGCCCCACGACCGGACCCAAAAAAAAAATTTAAAAAAGAAAGAAAGAAAATGTTTTCTCAAGCCGGATGTTCTTATTTATTAATCAAATTAGATGGTCTTCCATTACCAAGGTTATTCTACAACTCAATGTGTCACCCATAGGTGTTTCAAGGTATTTCCTAGGGTGCTAAGACCACCATCTGCTTTTGTTAACTCTTAAAACTATATGGTTGCAGAATGTTTTCTTTCTTGACTTTTGTGGGGGAAAGAGGAACTACATTGGCTATACACTATTCTCCATGACAAGGAAGAAATCAAGTCCAAGGGCACACTAAAGTTCTCTCCGTTCAACAAGCTAGGAGTAAATGCGTATCTCCTTTGGGAGTTGTTCAGAAACATCTCTCATAAATCTCACTTCACAGCATTACAGATAATTGGTAAATAATAGATGAACAATCTCACAAAATTGGCATTATTAGCTATGCGATGATCCGCTCTACAATTAAAACTCCTCCATTATTTTGAATAATTTAAGTGCAAAGTGCAAAAACAACTGGCAAAGGAGGGTGTCCAGGTAAAATGGAACAAATAAATGATTAGAACTCCCTTGAGAATGATTCGCCATGGTGCTGGGGAAAAATATATGGTTAGAGTTCTCTATCTCTAGAGCTATTACATTATCTGTTTATACATGCTATTAAATAGACCTCATTATCAAAATTTTGATCCCACAGAGTACAAGAGAAATCTAATTAACCCACCATCTGACCACAAGTGTAAAACTGCAATTGACTTGAAGTTCAGTCTACCTTTGTTCTCAAAGAAGCCTTCCCAGATTGAACCAAGAAATGCAACCATTTGCCCTTTTTTTATTTTTTTATTGTGAAAATACTGTACAAACCATTTGCCCTTGAGAGGAGTAATCCTCTGAAACCTTTTCCAAAACATTATATATCAGAAAAGATGACATGAGAGTCACCAACAATTCTGGGCTGCAGTAATGGAAATCACTGAAGCAAAAGTACTCCAGACAAGGACAAGCTGGAGTATTCTTTCAAAGGGCAAGATCAAGAATGTATCTCTATGGCTTGAGACTAGTCAGGCCAGCCAAGTAGTATGGGGGTTCACTGTAACATAAGTTCTTTGGAGGATTTGAGGGGGTAACCAAAGTAGCAGTTTGTTTTGTAGACAAATTTACACAAGCTTAAGAGATGGATTACATATTCACAGAAAGTTGAGCTTTTTTAGAGAAGAATTTGATCCTATAGAAATGAAGACTTACCATCTGCCGCTTGTTTTCCACAAGGTTTGAACCGATGATTCCAAGGAATGACCCAAAGCCAAGCTGGAAAGCAAACAGCATGCATAGAATGTGGGAAGACAGTCAGCCGGACTCTACCATCATTCTAGCTCCTGAATATGATTCAGGATCATGAAAAAAAACGAGTGCAAATGTTAAAGCCACAAGCCATTGCCTACACAAAGATATGAACTGAAATTATTTTCCCCTGCCATTTTTCAATTTTCCTTTGAAGCAATGAATCATGCCTAAAAAGAAATTCATGCCAAAAACTAAAAGTAAAGGTCAGCTATAGCTTTTCAGAGTGTACCTATTTCAATTTCAATATCCATTACCTAGTATGTAACTGGTGAGTCAGAGATACATAACGATGAAAAGCACACATTATAGTTTGATCTTTATCTGTTTTTGAAAAGAGTCTTCCACTTTGAAGTATGGGTTACAGAATAAAGGTGTGCAATAGTAATTTTTGATGCATCTGGCATACTAATCAAAATCAGGAAGTACTTTAAAAATCAGCAAGCACCTTAACCCACACTAAAAAAATAAAAATAAAAGAACTTTTTTTGAAAGCCTATATTTGTGGTTGACCCACTGCAATTTATGTTAGCACTTATTCACTTCTTCTTCCATCTCTGCTTCATTTGAAGCATTCATTAAAGGGTGAACAGAAATGGCAGTGTAAAACCTCGAAAAACAATTTCCCTGTCTAAGTGGCTGGGATTATGGCTCAGTGTAGCAGATATCACTGTCCTCTCAGTCCTGCCATTAGTGGACTGAGTTTGCCCATCTCAGCTGAAAATGATCACTAACCAATAGCTACTGATGGAGATGAAAATGGAAGAAGTAAAAAGTGGTGAGAATGGACCAATAAATCTTAACAAAAGCTAATGTAGTTACATTTCTCTTTGGCTTCACTAATGATCTCAGTTTCAGATTATCTGCAGCCTTACTTTGGCTCACAGAAGCATGCATTTTGGTCCAAGGACTTCCAAGTCTTACACTCAGACTTGTATATCTAATGAACCCAAGTACTGGACTTGGGGGAGCAGGGGAACTGAGTGGTTGTCTCAGAATTTCAAGAATGAAAGGAAGCAAATTTCCAAAGAGACTTCCCGCAGAACCACTTCGTCAGTTGTTACTCTTGGGAAATAGAAACTGGGGTACATGGATAGATAGATAGATAGATAGATAGATAGATAGATAGATAGATAGATAGATAGAGATATACCATACTATTTAAGAGTCTACATAATGTTTTGTACATCTCATTGTTGCAATGGGTCCACCTGTATCCCTATTTAAACAATTTGTTTTTTCCCTTCTCCTCCACAAATTATACCAACGTGGGGGTGGGGAGATGAGAAGGCAGGGATGGTAAGGGGAAACAAAGGAGGAGGCAACAATGCTTGATAAGAAGTGTACTCATTACCTTGCTTATGTAACCCCTCTGTATGGTATTTAAAAAAGATTCTACTGCAAATACTCATTCAGCACCTAAGCTGTGCCTGTTTTCCATATGGTCTAATTTCAAATATAATTAAAATGTATTGTCATAAAATATAGTGGTTAAAATCTGATGATCACAGTCACCTGACTTGGAACCCCAGATATCTACTTACGTCTGTACAACTTTGAACAAGCTGATTAACCTCTGTAAACCTGTTGCTTTATCTGTAAAACAGGGACCATAGTAGTGCTACCTTAAAGGGCTTTTGTGAGGATTAAGCAAATTGATATATTCAAAGAACTTTCCATAATGCTTGGCACACAGTAAGTGTTTAGTAAATATTTACTTTGCTTTAGCGATTATCATACTATTTTTAAATACATTTAACTTCAGAGTCTCTGTAACTTGACCTGGAAAAGCCTGTCAATAGTTGCTCCATATCATGATAAAAGTTTCTCCTTTCGGTATTATGTCCCCCTTTCAATACGTTCAATAAATTTCATTTTTCTTAAGAGAGAATTACATGAAATATATGTGCTTATAATATTCTGAGTCACTCTCAGAGACTGAAAGAAATTCAGATGCAACTTCTTTAAGGAGAAGTAAGTCTTTTTTTTAGCAAAGAGTTCATCAGCTTATACAGATACTCACAAAGTGTCTCCTGAAACCCAACAGCAAACTTTCCCCTACTACAGACATCAGTCACACTGACTATCCCTGTCAACTCTCTTATGGTCATGGTCTCAAAGGCTAGGCTTAACCTACTGGAACTCACTAGAAAAACAAAGCACTCCAAGACTGGAAATCCCAGGCCAGCCAGTTTCCCACTTCCAATCCACTCTATTCCCTTCAAATTCATTTTATTTTCTAACATCTATTGAATACTTTTATGTCAAATATGTAAGAAGACCTGTGCCCCTATCTTATAAGAGCTCATAATCTAATGAGGGAGAGAGAGATCCAGAACCACAGAGAAGTGGGGCGCAGGTAACTCGCGCCTGTAATCCTAGCTATTCAGGAGGCTGAGATCTGAGGATTGCAGTTCAAACTAGCCTGGGCAGGAAAGTTTGTGAGACCCTTATCTCCAATTAACCACCCGAAAACCAGAAGTGGTGCTGTGGCTCAAAGTGGTAGAGTGCTAGCCTTGAGCAAAAGACCTTAGGGACAGAACCCAGAACCTGATTTCAAGCCCCTTGACCAAAAGTAAAAAAAAGAACCACATGGAAGGAAACAAAGATACAAACTAACCAAAGCACTATATGGGCAGGAAATTTCATTATGGATTATATCTTTGTGTCTGTTACTTAAAAACTGTTTGTCCTTAGACCAGTCTGTTTTACTATTCTCTGATTTGGTTTCCTTATCTATAAAATGAGAATCACAATAAAAATTGTGAGAATTAAATGAGATAAAGTATGGATCATGGCTTGTAAAATGTAGGTTGCTAAATAAAAGGTAATTCAATTTCCATAGAGGAAACATCCTATATGGACTGAAAGGAGCAATAGAGTTCAACAGGTAGGAAACTGGTATCTAGTGAGTGATGGTTAAAAGGATTAATTCTTCTGGATGGCCTTTGAATGAAATCACCAATGTTGCTAAGACTTTGCACTTAAAAGTGATGAAAGTTAAAGAAGCAATCATCACTTTTATTTTGGTCACAGGAATGCTGTGGAGTTTGGAGTTTGGTAAAGCTGTTATCATTCCCACTTCATAGGCCTAGACAATTATAAGGACTTGGCCTTCCTTAGAAAAAGACAAGGTCAAAGCCAAGGCTAGCCCTCAGATCACATGATTAACAACTAATATTCTTTCAGTCACACCTACCTACCTTTATGGCCAGTGTTAGTAGAATAATGACCTTCAAGCAACAAGGGGCTTATTGATGTCTCTTTCCCCAATTCCCCCAGAAAAAAAAAATCTTCAGAATAGAAGCCTGTTTGAGGAAGAGCCAAGGAGTTGAAAATAAAAGGAACCAACAATTTCTTGAAAATGGACAGATACTTCTGATCAACTCAGTGGTCCTAGTTGTCAAGAGCTTCATGGAATTATGTAATGCTTATATCTTTGGAACATTGTTTTGATTTTCCTACTACCTGAACTAATAACCAATTTGCTTTGTTTTGGCTGCCCTCTACTTATGAAACAAATAATAATTAGAAGTCAAAATCAGATTGAAGGGTTCTTTAGGGAGGATGGACCTTATCACTTTAGGCCTATTCATATCCACTGCTCCAAATATTGAGGGCTGAGGTTGAGAAGGATTAGCCATTTTGCAAATATTAACTGGACATCTAGTCTGTGGTAAGTACTGTTTTGATCTGTGATTTGGAGGTTTGGATTTGGGGGTAGGGCTGATGCCAAGACTAATGAGATTTAGGCTCAAGGAGCTCATGCTATAATTAGGTAAATCAGTCCACAATCCCTTTCCATAATCCTAAAAATCCACAGAGCTCTTAAACCTGAAAGGGCTTTCTGATAACTAGCATGGTAGCAAAGCCTGACCTTGAACTAATGTGAAATGATTTTATACTCCATTTTGCTTCATGTAAACATTCATATTTTATTGTGGAAATATGAAGGAACTTGATTGTGGAGTGTTTCTCAAGGCTCCATTGAGATGTTAGATGCATAATTTTTAAAAATTAATACCCTGAATCACATATGACTCAGATGTTCAGATAAGTGATTGTGGGCATATATAAACAAAGATAAATGAAAATATGGATCAACAAATGCTACAACACAGTGATGGATATTTTTCCAGGATCCATGAATAAGAAGAATCTGCAATTGTGATTTCAAAAGATGAAAGAAACCACTACGTATCCACTATGAGAAATGTTCCTGCTGTATTGTTAGAATGTGACAGAACATTTAGATAGAGAAACAACAAGAAGGACATCTAGGGAACAATGTAAGTGACAGCACCAAGGCAGAAAAGCCCAGGTCATGTTCAGGGGAGTATGACAATCTTGACAAAAGAGAAATAATAGGAGACCTGCATCTGCATCTACAGAGAGCTTTGAATGGCATGCTAAGGAAGCAACAGGAAGCCAATGAAGGTTAGGACATTATAACACATTGCATCCAGAAAATTGGGGTTCATCTTTAAAATATAGACACTAGGGTAGGAATTTGTATTTTAAAATGATATTTAAAACATATCAGTAGGAAGGGAAAAAGCCTCGGACTAATTCACAATAAACTACAGAGCCCCTATCCAGAGCACCTGATATTTCCTGAGCCACTCAAGTTAATCACAACTTTTTTGGACTTATCAAGTAAAGCTGAAGGCACTTAGCCTAGAAAAGGTTTCTAGACTATTAAATGTTCTCTGTTGCCCTGTTTCCTAATATCCTATTGTGAGTGTTTAGCTTCTCAATCAACTGACTCACTCCAAGAAATGGAGCAAAACCTCCTGGTTTCTCTTTTAAAATAAAACTCAGGCTAAGCCAGGCTCTGATGGCTCATACCCGTAAAAGCTCAGGAGGCTGAGATATGAGGATCGCAGTCCCAATCCACCTGAGCAGGAAAGTTTGTGAGACTCTTATCTCTAATAGACTACTTAGAAAAAGCCAGAAGTGGTGCTGTGGCTCAAGTGGTAGAGTGCTAGTCTTGAACACAAAGAGGCTCAGGGACAGTTCTGAAAACTGGCTAAAAACAAAAACAAAAACAAAACCTCAGTCTAGTGTTGACTATGGCAGTACAAAAGCTACAGAGTGAGTACCAGAGTGAAAGACTTGCCTCATTGATCAGGGGGCCAACTTTATCTTGTGGGTTGCATGGCAAACACATTTCGAGACCTCATTTGCCTCCTCTTAGGTGAGTGGGAGGGGAGGTTTAGAAGTAAAGAACAACCTCTGACACAGGCCCTTTAAATTTGATACAACAACCAGGACTCTAGGATTTTGAGGCCTTCAAAGTGGAAAGCTTACCAGAACTCTTCTGGCATAGAATATGTCTCAATCCTTTAAGGCCAGTAAAAAGTAAAAATAAAAATCTTACGCCACTTTTTCTCCCCTTGTTAGTTTTAATTTTTTTAACCTTGCACAAATTAGCACATATTTAATGATAGATGCACGTTTGTGTGACTTTGAACAATGATACTGTACTTTAACTCAGGTACAGTATACTATTATAAATACCTCACTGGACATAAGCATCTGGTTTGACAAAATAAAAACACACCCCTGAAAAATCTTACATGACTTCAAATTATGCAAATAGAATTCTGTTTTAAATGTCAGAGATATCAATATTTAAATGAATCGTGCATTAAGTCTTCTTCTAACCTAATAGCATCTCCATAATTTTAACTGTTTTGTACATCTAAAATTCAATATATTGTTAACACATTTAACCAGAGTTCAAAATAGCAGAAATTTTCTCGGCTGTAAATTTTTTTCACAGTTCTATACAATGGTAATTTATATTCAAGGTGACCAATTTGACAATGCAGATTTTTTTTTTTTTTGTCGGTCATGGGCTTGAACTCTGGGCCTGAGCGCTGTTCCTCAGCTCTTCAGCTCAAGGCTAGACCTCTACCACTTGAACTACAGTGACACTTCTGGTTTTCTGGTGGTTTATTGGAGATAAGAGTTTCATGGACTTTCCTGCCTGGGCTGGCTTTGAACCTCGATCCTCAGATCTCAGCTTCCTGAGTAGCTAGGATTACAGGCATGAACCACCTGGCTTGACAGTGCAGATACTTAAAGCACCATGTTATAGTCTTGGTTTTATTGCCAAGCATATTTTACTGTCTTTTAGTTCTTCAGGTGATTGGTGATCCACCTAAATTAAGACTCCCCTGGAGGAATGAGCAAAAATGGAAGTTTAACACACATTACTTTTTCAATAAAAGATTATTTCATAAAAAAGTCACATTTGTTGGGCCCAAACAGAATCAGAATCTTTCGAGGCTATGAAGGTAAGGCCATAGGTGAGATAACAGGTTCGCCATGTCACTCCTGTTCATGCATGGATTAGAAATCTACATGGGCTTCCAAGTAATTCCTTAATAACCAAGCTATTCATTAGTGAAAACACCCTGTTTCCAGACAAATCTAGCTTCTCAAGTATTTATTGTTGCAGAGGTAGAAGTCCTCATTCTATTTACTGTCACATGATCTGACCCATAAAGTCGAATGGATTTTTAAACTTTTCGCTCTGCTAACTTCTCCCTTTCACTTTCCATAATTAAAACTCATTTTAATGAAATAATCTCCAGAAAAAAATTTAAAGGTTAAACCAAAGAGGCATAGCATGCATTTAGGATAGTTCTCTTATTACTTCCATTTTACCTTTTAATGAAACACACACACGACATACACCTCCAATGCTTCAACCTCCAGTACGAGCTGAACATCGGGTGCTTGAATAACACAATCATGAGCCCTTATTCCTTTGTTAATCTATTCCAACCTAGCCACCCACAGTCACATTCTACAGAGAAGGTTCATAACCACTGTTCATGAATAGGAATTTGTACTCTTAAATAATATGTAAAAATCTCACCCACAGGGATTCTGAATCTTGACTTGAGCATTTGCTCATCAGTCAGAAATAGTTTACTAATGCAGCTACCTGAAGCACACAAAGTCATACAGATCCTATAAATTGCTTTCCAAGCCAATGCTCTTACCCCCTCCTTTCCTCCCCCTCCCCTTTGCATTTAAAAATAAAATCCAATTCTGCTGATGTCAGGTATTCTTGCCTTACCACAGGAAGTGGACTGGGTGAGTTCTCACAGCACATGTTTAGCAGAGGACACAGAACATCAACTGGTGTCTGTGGGACATTTGCCTTCAGTTGGGAGACAAGCCAGCCCAAAATCTACAAAAGAGCTTTCAGCTTGAGGGGAGCACAGCCCACACCAGAGCCCCTTTCTCAAAGAGAAAGGCACACTGTGGAATAGATTCAAATGGAATAGACCACCTAGGTAATAAGCATGTCTCTAATCCTTTCTTCTTCCCAACTCAGAGATAGAGGGGGGGACAGACAGAAACAGAGAAGACAGAGAGACCAAAACAGAGACACAGAGAGACAGAGAGAGGGAGAGGGAGAACAAAAATATATCAGATCTTTTTGTTTTCTTCATTTAAAAAAATGAATTATTCCTTCCTATGCTCTAGCAATTACATGTGGGAAACTATTTATCTGGTATTAAAAATATGGTACAACTTCTAGAATTAACTTTGGGGTTCATTAATACAGACTGAAATAAAGTTTTTTGTTTGTTTTGGTTTTGGCTTTCTGTACATAGACGGGGTCTCTCTGTGTTGGATAGGCTGGTAAATGTATTTTTACGCAACAAATTCAACTATCACTGAAATTAATTGTATGCATCTCAGGGGTGGATAAAACCATCCATTGGAATATAGAAATAAACCATTAGGGAGGCTGCAATGCTTGGTAAGAAATGTATGCATTATCCTGCCCATGTAATTGTAACCCCTCTGTACAGTATGTTCTCAAATAAAATAAAATTAAATTAAAAAAAAAAAGAAAGAAACCATTAGGATTTCTGTTTGACAATTATTGTTGATCTAAAATAAGAAAAAAATGTTTCCTAATATTCAATAAATGGCTTGGCACTAGCACGCACACACCATCAGTGTGAGTATCAGATGATCAGAGAGCTGTCCTTGGGGAAGAGGACACGTTCTAAACAGCAAAGGTTAAATGGCAGGGAATTTTATGTATGCCCAGATTAGATGATCTAGGTTTAATTAAACTAGCTCTAACAAATAGGACTAGAGATTCCTGTTAAGAAATCAAAAATTGAAGACAACTAAGAAAACACAAATAAGCAACAAAAAATGGCAGAATTAATATTTCTAATTCCCAAGGAAAACATTGAGAACTGATGTAAAAAAAAAAAACAAAAACTAGGGGCTGAGAAGGTGGCTCAGTGGTAGAGCGCTTGCCTTGCATGCCTGAGGCCCTGGGTTCGATTCCTCAGCACCACATAAGCAAAAAGAAAAAAGCCAGAAGTGGCGATGTGGCTCAAGCGGTAGAGCACTAGCCTTGAGCTGAAGAGCTGAGGGACAGCACCCAGGCCCAGAGTTCAGGCCCACGACCGGACCCCAAAACACAAACAAACAAAAAAAACTAAAAACAACAGCAAAAAATAATAGTTCCAACAACAAGCTAATCATATCTGATCAGAAGTTGGCCAAGGGCTGAACTTGGTCACTTACAGTTATAATCCTTAGGCCTTCAAAGCCACTCAATAAGCAGAAATCAGGAGGATCACAGGTAGAACCCAGCCCAGGCAGAAAGTTAGTGAGACTCCATTTCAACAAGCAAGCAGGACATGGCATGGTGATCCCAGCTATGTGACAGGATCAAGAGCAGTCTAAGATTGATCCTGGGAAAAACCACAAAACCTAACTGAAAAGTAAAACAAAAATAACTGAGAGAGTGGTTCAAGTAGTAGACTGTCTGCCTAGCAAGCACAACGCCCTGAGTGCAAAAAGGTCATCCCAAAATACCCACAATTATCTCATGGGCCACTTGAAAAAAGGATTGATAGCCACTATGTTTAATGATAAACTTCACCCTGATTATCTTCCCATGATACTTAATATTTGCATAATGACATTAAAATTGTTTATTTCATTTTCACCTCATTTTTGAATTTCCATTTTTAAATATGTTTAATAAACATGTATATAATTTAATGAATGAATTAATATACATGGTTTAGGATTGCCTCTTGGATATCTTTCTTCTGATAGAAGTACAGACTTCTTTGCTGATCCATGCTTTTTGTTGATCAAGCTTGCAGGATGATCAGACTCCAGGTAAGATCGGTTGACTTCTAGTAGTACATGCAGGAAAACAGATGATTTCCCCCCCCTCAAAAGAAGGATCTTTGCCTGATTAACACTGCTAGTTAGAAACATCTCCTAAATCAGAACACCAAAGTCCTCAAGAATAAAATTACTTGTTCCAGCTCATATTCAGAGATGGCACTAGGACTCTCAGTCTCAGTCCAGTGCTTTTCATAACAAGTCACCTTTCTGTATTAATATAGAAAGATATAAAGAGGAAATCTACAAACTCAAGAAAGTCAAACACAATTTTACATCACCAAAGTAGAGCCCAGATCTATGCTTTCCATACTTACAATAACTCCTGGATAATAGCCTCCAACAGTTACATTCTGGGTCCTAGTGGTTGCAGCCAAGCCCACTGTGAGAATTAATACCGATACAATAAGCAAAGTCACAGTGACATAGATGGAGTTTCGTTTCCTCCGGTTGAAGGCTCCTGTAAACACAAAGAAAGTGGGACTGTTCATTTCTGCCAGAAAAATTTTACTAGGAAGGTTTTTCTCTCCTACTCCTACTGGTAACTGAGGTTGTCTTTAGGGAGTGGAATTCCAGCAAAGTGATGGAAATTTCAGTTTTGCAGTCATCAACTGCCACTTTTATAATAAAAATGTCCTTCTATATATCTGAAACCCCTCTGTACATCACTTTTATAATAGTAAATTTTTTCCTCTTAAAATGTATTTGTTTATTCAGGTTTTTTAAATGGTTTTATTGTCAAAGTGATGTACAGTTAGGTTACACTTACATAAGTAAGGTAATAAATACATTTCTTGTCAAACTTGTTGCCCCTCATTTTTCTCCTCTTTTCCCTTCCCTCCACCCTCCCCACCCTCAGCTTGTACAGATCATTTCCAACATATTGTCTTGTGTATATTGCTGTTGCATTGGTTCTTTGTCTCACCATTTTATTATTCTCTTTCCCTTCCCTAATTCAAATAAATGTATATACATACCAAGATACCAAAATCAAATACGGTGACAACATGGGATATACCATAGGGAGAAGCAGATACAAAAGAAACAAAAAAATCACATAGTACATTAAAAACAACAACAACCAAGAAAAACCTCTGTGTCCATGCTGTGGCTCAAGTGGTAGAGTGCTCACCTTGAGCTGAAGAGCTCAGGGACAGAGCCCAGGCCCAGAGTTGAAGCCCTACAACTCCCCCCCCAAAAAAGCTCTACTTAATAATTTTTTAAAAAAGAAGAAAACTTCCAAAATGTTAGGAGGCTGAGATCTGAGGGAAAATATGTATTTCTCATTGGAAAATAACAGAAGAAATCTCATCAGTTATATAAAAACAAAACAAGTTCTGTGCTTTTGGCATTGCATAAAAGATGTGTCATCTGTACTTAGTAAGGTGGGTTTTATTAGGCCAAATTATAAAGGCATATGATGAATGCAAAATGTTTGTGTGGGGCTATTAAATGAAAATATTTTAAAGCCAATATGTAACTAAGAAGGTCTTATTCATAAGCTAGAGATATGAAATTTCATTTTCAGTGTAAATATCAGAACCAAGTCAGGTACTAGGGATTTTCTTTTCATTTATTTCTGACATTTGCCACCTCACATATAAACTTTAAAACGGTGTGCTGGCAAGATTTGTCACATAACAAATGAGTGTAATAAAGTAAATGTTGGGAGGCCTTTAGTCCACAAAGATATATATCGGGGAGGTAGATGGAAGGGATTCTAACTTACACACATTTAGGGTTATGTGAGGCTGAAATAAATATAAATGATGTGAAACCCATTCTCCTGCTCAGGGCATATCAGACATGATAAGGCAAGCCAATATATTTTTATTTTTAAATTTTTGAAAAACAGGCTTATTCGATAGCATAGAAAAATGGTATCTAAGCTTCCTTTTCAATTTAACATTTTTTTAAGGATTCAAGCAGGGCTCCACACTCTATGGGCATTTTTAGGAAAGACATAGGAGGGGGGCACCAGGAAATACTTGGGGGAGGGTTACTGTCTAGGAGTTCTCTGGAGGGTAAAAATGATCAAATGGGGGATGCTAGGAGATTTTTCTCTAGCAGAGTTGTGGAAGGTAGAGAGAATGAACCACTGGAGAACCTGATGGGGAAGTGGTTGTCCAGGTGGCATAACTGTAATTGATGACCTTAAAGAAACCTTTGAGAATGTAACATCCAGTCATTCTGGAAGACCTCACTGTAAACTCTGGAAGGAAGCAGTGGCAGAGGGAAACTGCCCAGACTGTACTACTGAGGTGGTGGAGGGAAGGGAGGGAAAGACCAAGGGGAAAAAAAAGGAGAAAACAAGAAGAGAGAATGACCTAGGAAACCTGATAGTGACGGGCTGTAGCCAGCTTTGCACCTCCTGCAGATATGCCCTTTAGTTTGTAAATAGTCTGGACTGTTGAATGAGTTAGACCCACCATCCATCTTGTCTTTCCCATTGTGATCCCAGTTCCTAGGGAAGTGGGAGGGGCTGGCCGGCTCCCCTGATGTCAGCCTAAAGAAAGGGAGGTGACTCATCAGGCCATTTCTAATAAGGTATTATTCTAACATCATTTTGCATCAAAGTGTAAAAGCAGTTTAAGCATATATAGGCACAAATACACTAAAGTGCCCATCTTACCCTGAAAGGAGAGCTGAGGAGAGTGGAGAAAAGAGTTTCCTCTACAGTGAGACTTCAGTCCAGCCCCCACTGGGAAAAAATAAAAGACCCAGAGACACCTGTGACCTCAGGGTCCTTTGTGTGAGATGGCAACTAGGGATGCAAAGAACAAGTTAATGGGTGACAGACAGATGAACAAAGCCTGGCAATTACAACTGCCAGGCTGGGAAGGGAGAAGGGTGGGGGACAGGATGAACAGAATTTAATTTCTTCAATTGATCTGAACATTAGTTATCCTTTTTCGACTTTGAGGCAACCTAAGTGAGTCTCTAATTCAGAGTTCCTAAAATCTATTTGGTGATAGTGTTCAGTGTGTTCCACAAGGGACTTTAACCTAAATATATCAACACCACCTCCCATTCTTGTCTTCTTTTCTCCTTTGTCATTCCTACAGGATCTTTAGCCTTTTCTTGCCCCCAAATTGAGAGAGGGGGCGGGGCGGGGGAGACTTGCACCAGGGAAGATCTTATCAGGGAAGATGTAACCTTAGAGATGAAATTGGATTATGTATATATGCACGGTTTTTACTAACTTATTTCACAGGCCTGCTCCTTCCCCACCAACAGACCCTTAATCCTATTCACAGCTCTTGGGCCTTATTTGCAAACATCACTCTAACTCTTAAAAGCACAGGAGCCAGGTCAGAAAAGTGACTCAGCAAACCACATGGTGTCTTTGGAAAATCTATTTTTTTTCTTTGCCTTAGAGCTTGAATTGAAAATTCAATCAGTTGAGAAAACTAGTCAAGGGCACAAGGGCCTTGCCTCTAGATAGGGTTTGTTTTCTATGAAATTACCAAGAAATGTAACATATGTATTATATAATAAAAATGTCATAATGAATTCCATTATTTTGTACCATTAACATTTGCTAATAAAAAATGAAAAAAGAAAGTTCTAACTTCACTAGATGGAATATTTACTTTATGTCCTCTGATGCTTCTCCAATCCCTCCTTTTTGTATACTATAAACACTACAAATGTGTAAAATAAAATATATAGTCATAGTATTCGATATACACACATGAAAAAGGAAACAAGTAACTTGAGGGATGGGGTTACATTCTCTCCCTAGAATGCTGGAAGCAGTGACATTGATCAAGAGGCATTGTACTCATAAACTGACATGTTGAACTGAAGCCCCTTTGTACCACTAGTTACAGATAATAAAAAAAAATCTTTTTAAAATTTAGATGCACTTGGGGAGTTGACAATTTTAAGGAACATCTGGGTGAATCACCCCTCAATTTATCTTCAGTGTCAATTTGAGTTGATTAAATTCAAATCAACTTGATTTTGTGAAGGTGTGGCTAAGGGTCTACAAGACAGATCTTTTTGTGTGCTTAGGACATTTTCCTGGTGCTTGTTCTATCTTAGAGGTGAGAACAGCCCTGCTCATAGTAGAGCAATACTGAAGGCTTTCTTTAGATGGTACTGTATTCACAGGACCATCTTAATCAGGTTTTATTATAATTAATTTGATTATAATTAAAACACATAAATTAATGCATCAACTGGCATATAAATCAATATGTCAAAGGAGCTCAGACACCATGAGCCCTTTTCATACGAGACTGGTGCATTCAGGATGGTATGGACATAGACACCTCATGAACCCTTTTCAAAGAACTGACAGTTGCCTGTCATTGTGTCTGATACCTAGGAAGTAGTCTGTAATTGTTGAATAACAGTAACAATAACCAAACTTGATTGTGTCTTAATTGAAAAGGCTATGGGATGAATTACTTGCATACACATTGACTATCCTCACAGTATTGGCTTCCTAAAACAGGATACACAAGACAATGCCGTAGAACCAAAAACCATCTGTTCAACTAAAGTCCTAATCACAGTGTTTCTCACTACCCTGTCTACTTTGTGCCCACTGTTAAACAACAACTCCTGCAATCAACAACAGTGAGCTTCTGAATCTCATTGCTGTTGTCTGCCTGCCCCCAGCAGCCTTCCCGCAGATCTACTGCAGCCCTCCCTCTCTGCAGTGCCCCACCTCCATCCCACCATCCTGAAGAACAAGATGCTGTGCTCTACAAGCACCCAAATATATACTATCTCTACCCTTCCAAATTCAACCCAATTCTCTCTCCTTCAAGTCCCCTCCCTAATGAAACTCCCACTCTAGAACCTTCTCCATTTCAATTGGTCTCTCCCTTCATTTGAAACCTGCTCAAAACTCACATTTTCCATAAGCTTTTCAAGCTCCCCATACTCCAACCACTTATTATTTCAGATCTTTAATTTCCCAGATACCTCACTCAGTAAGTGTATTAAATGTAATTGCTATGATTACAATTATAACTGTGGGTCTGATCCACAAGTTATATGATGTCCACCAGTATGAATTGCTAAAAAGACAGGATTGGGTCTCTGCCTACCCCTACTGATCTTAAGCATATTCTTGCTTTTCCGCTCCCAAGAGATTCAGTAGGATGTTCAATTTTTATTGGAGTGCAGTAAAGATGGAGGCCTGCATTCTTTTCTGTACAGTATGTTCTTGATGTTCTTGGTAATTTTCTGAGTTGATCTTTTGAACCAGTTGGAATTTGCTTACCTGAATCTGTTTTCTCACATGAGAGGTTTCCAGAAACTCTCAGCCTTGAGCATCCTCGGAAACAGGTGGCTACTCATATAACATCTCAAAGCCCTACCAATCTCTTAAAATTTTTCTGAGAGCTGCTGAAATTCATCACTTCCATCTCTGTAGTCTCAGCGAGATAAAATTGTGTTATTGAGGAGTAAAGTAATGGCTAACTGTAATAAAGGTTCCTTAGCCCCTGGGGGCGCTATTGCCAAAACGGAATAGAGGGGTTTCTTGAGAGAGGATGGAGGGCGCAGGAGTTATATTACCATCTTCATAACTGCAGAGCTCCTGCTCTGCTCTGAGCTAACCCCCCAGGCAACTAACAAATATAGAGGATGGGCACTTTGGTGCAGTGTGTGTGGTGTGGTGTGTGTGTGTGTGTGTGTGTGTGTGTGCCGCGCGCGCGCGCGCGTGGCTAGTATACAGGGAATCCCCTCAGAAATGCTGCCCTTGAAGGCTGAAACACTAACTCATCCACCTCCCCCCCCCCCGCTGTGCATGCATGCAAAGGTGAAGTTGTCAGAACTGAGTCAAGTGGGAGTAGCTCCCAAGCATCCGAGATGCTGATTCAGGCCTGGGCTGAACAGGACCAGTGCCAGGGAACTCCGGTCCAAGGAGACTCCCCAGTCTTAACTGTGGGAATCCAGGGTTACCACTCTACGTAGGAATCTGCTAGTGCAGTTCGCTTGAGGATTTTCAAAAAGGTGAATGCATGATGAAGGATCGGTGTCTTTGTGAGATCCATGATTGTTTTTGTGCAGCGTTGTGCCTGGGCTTGGCGAAACCCACTGAGCTTGTTGTTGCGCAGACCTTTGGAGAAACGCAAGATTGGCTGAGGCCCCTGGGAGTCCAAGAAAGAGGTCTGTTCATCTTGTTTCGCGGCCCATAGAGGAGTATCAAATAGCAACCCTTTAAGCCCTGAACTTTAATTTGCCCACTCCTCGCATTCAGACGGCATTCAGATGAGGAGGTTTGGGTTGCAGGTGGTTGTCAACCGCAGCTGGAATGGGAGCTGCGCAACCTGCTCTTTTCTCTCTTTTCTCGGTGCAACAGCTTGGCCTGGGGGGGAGCCAAGACCATGTTGGCGCCACAGCTGGCCAAGGTAAGGAGTGCATTCTGTGTGTGAGTGTGTGCGTGTGTGTGCGTGCGTAGTGCGTGTGTGTGTGTGAGAGAGAGAGAGAGTGTCAGAGACAGACCCAGAGACAGAGACAGAGACAGAGAGACAGGGAAAGAGAGAGGGGGAGGGGGAAGGGGAGGAGGTGGGAGAGACTGCAGGACTCTAGATTCGGACCCGAGTCCTTGGCCTCATTTGCGTTGCAAGTAACTATGCCCTTAAAGTGAAAAGAGCAGCTCTTAAACGGCGTATACAAAATCATACAATACGTATCTGATCCACCATCAAAGAGATCGCACTTATGGGGTGGGCTTTCGTGTACGAATTTTGTTGCGACTGAGCCTTTTGCAGGCAGTAGGGGCGTCAATCTTCTCCCAGTCCCCTCCCCCTACAGATGTTCCCGCAAATTCTTCGTAGACGACCTGAGTAAACAAGAGCTAAGGAAGTAGGGACCAAGGGGCTTTGCAGAATGTAAAGTGTATTGGAAAGGAGAGAATTCGATTTCGTTGAAGTGTATCCGAGACACATTTTAAGATTAGGTGGGATCATGGTTCCACAATTCCCTCCCGCTCTCCAGGGCTCTAAATTAATTTCTCCGCCCAGTGAAATCACACGGCTTGGGAAGATGCCTAACAGCTGAAGGGAACTGAGTTTGGTTTTTGTTTGTTAACTACCAAAAAGCAGGATACAGGAGCAGCCAACTTGCTGCCTGAAGATCGCAGTCCCCAGTTTTCACGAGGAAAGGTGACGAAAAGTGCCCCTCCCCCTCCATTCCACTCAGAGAGGCAAAGCGCGACTTCAGAAGATGAGCGGGCTCGCGGTCGATCTTCTTTCTCGCCCCCTCCCCACCATTTTCCACATTCACGCACATTCCTTGCATTTAGAAACGGAATAGGAATCAAAATGCAAGGAATGTTGATCGTGCTAACGCAGACAACAGCGTTAGAGTGTATTAAGTGATTCCTCAGGAATTCTCCAGTCCCCTCTTCTTTCTTACTCCCCAACCCCCAGCCCCTAGGGTTGCGCAACCACTCCCCTCCCCCCCATCAACAAGGTGCAAATCCCCATCCCCCTGCCCTCGCGCACGCAGCTCAGAATTTTAGGGCAGCTTGTAGAGAGTTGGGAAATGGGCGAAGACCCTGCTTCGTCAAATTATTTCTTACTTCCTGAGCTCTTAGAAGTGAGGAGGACTCCTCAAAGAGGCAACATCGAAGAGAAATCAAAGGCGACGATTGAAGGGGAAGTGTTTTGATCCCCAGGCTGCTAGGATTTACCAGTGGGTGTAAGTCTGTAGACTCACGCACACACCCGCACTCCAGGGCAAGGACTCAGACACAAGCTTGGCGTTCCAATATCCGCACGTCGCCCACCCGCCACAGCCAGGCAGTTCCCCTGGGGTTCTGGTCCACCACCAATACTGAGATGCGTGGACCCCTCTGGTTTCCGGCTGTCTAGCTTTCAGGACAGCCCGGAGCTAGCAGTCCAGAGGGCAGCGCACTCCTTGCTGACGCCGCCCGGAGGAAGGGCGGCTGGACTTACCCATGGAATCAGGCAGGGACATGTCGCTGGATCGTTGCTGAGTCAGGGACTGATGCATGGTGAAATCTGTCCCGTTTGCCCCAGTCCCCTAAGATGCTTCAAGCGCCCCCAGCTCAGGGCGCCCCGCAGAGCATCTTACTCCGCGGCTCCTTCTCCTGGTCCCTCCAGAGAGCTGAGAGAGACTGCCTTTGGTTGAGAGCTGCAGCCCAAGAGCCGCCTCCCCCTCCCTTCCCCTCTTCTCCCTCCCTCTGCTCCAGGAGGCAGCAGCATTGGCAGTCCAAGCAGCAGCGTGCGCTTGCGCAAGACCCCCCCCCCCCCCCCCCCCCCCCGCCTCCCCATCCTAGTTATCCAACTCCCAGCTTCCCCCCCCCCCCCCCCCCGCCTCCCCATCCTAGTTATCCAACTCCCAGCTTCCCAAGCCAGACTGGGAGCTGTTTTAGCCCCTTGGGGCCAGAGCTGCACAGAGATAGAAAAGAAGGCTCCAGCCTGGGGGCAATTTGCCTACCCTGTAGCTTGAGGAGAGGGTCTTGGGAAATCATCTTGTTTTAGAATTTATAATTGGGGAGGAACACAGAGTCACAGATTCAGAGCTGAAGAACATATAAACACACGCGCATGCACATGCACACGCGCGCGCGCGCGCACACACACACACACACACACACACACACACACATTTGTGCAGGTCTGATCTTAAAGCTTCCAGAATGACATAATGGAGCTGGATATGATCCAGAAAAGGGCCACTGTATAATCAAGAGCACGGTGGAGGGAGGCTGTCTTATGAAGATAGATTAAACAAATGCAGGCTCTTTAGTCTAGAATGATGAAGGCTGGGAAGGGATGTGACCAGAGTGTATAAAATTATGCAGATATGAAGAGAAAGAGGACACAGCCTTATCTGACAATTCTAGAACCAACAGCACTGTAAGAGCTAGAAGGATAGTCTTCTAAAGCAAACATGGCCTTGTATCAGCACCCCCTTACTTTTTTTTTTAATTTTTTAATTTTTTTGTTGGTTGTGGGGCTTGAACTCTGAGCCTGTGCACTGTCCCTGAACTCTTCAGTTCAAGACTTGCCTTTTACCACTTGAGTCACAATGCCACTTCTGATTTTCTTGTGGTTTATTGGAGGTAAGTGTCTTACGGACTTTCCTGTCCTGGCTGGCTTTGAACTGCAATCCTCAGATCTCAGCCTCCTAAGTAGGATTATGGGCATGAGCCACTGGCGCCCAGCCCCCTTACTATTTTTGCTCAAGGATCTCATTTTCTCATCATAGCAGCCATGTAAGGAAGAGGAATAATCAACAACCCTATTTTATAGATGAAGAAACCGAATCTCAGATGAAAATCTAGGACCACTTGGCTATTAGGTGGCAAAGATGGAATTCAAGCATAGAACAGTTGGACTCACACAGCAGTGCTCATCTTGCTTTGGCAACTGCCTCCATGTCCCCAAATTCCAAACCAAGTTAAGTATAACATTCTTTTGAGAATCACTAAGATGAACAATACTTGGTTCTTTCCATATCTGCCTTGTTAGCCTGTGAGATTTTTGTTACTTTGTCCAGGAAATAGAATCATAGGCTCTTTCCCTTTTTCATTTTCCAAAGAAAGAAAACATGCTTCCTAGAGGTCAATAAAGAAAGCTCTTTATAAAGAACTTGGGTACTCCAGGTTGAGTGTTGTCTCAAGTATTATTAGCAGCTGCATACAAAAGGTGTGATTGGAGATCTATGATATATATCTCAGATAGAGACAAGAGGCCCACTATTGTAGAGGTGTCTGTCTTAATCATGTTTGGTGTACAGGTCAGTCTCCATAAGCTTTACAAAAGCAGAAAGAAGTCCTATACTTTTACACAATCACAGTGATTGTCTTTCAGTTCTGTTTATTTGTCTCTTCCTCATCTCACCCTAAATACCTTATATCTAATATAAAGAATTCCTGTAACCTGTAATGGTTTC